CTATCTCGCTTTTTCTCTTTATCACCTGTGGTCTGTCGTCCGAGGAACTAGTGATGTCACATTCCGCGTTAATTACACTTTGTAAGCCCAGACGTATCGAGCCTGACTAAACCTATCTCCTCTGCAATTCCCCCTCCCCTCTCCGAGTGCCTGCTTCTCTGCAAGTTCTTCTAATCTAGATTAAGCTTCACTGTCTAACACAAATGCTTGATGGCGGTGCTGCCTGCAGCAAAGCCTCAGCTTTAAGTGGAGACAGGCTGCCGCTGCGCCGACTCAGTGTGGTGATACAGGCGGAAATCCTTGCGGCAGTACTTCAGCTGGTCACGATATGGATGAACGGGAGGAGGTGAAGAAGAATGGCGGGAAAAGGTGTAGGATGCTAGCGCTGCGCATACATTGCTGTCAAGAACCGAAGCTCATTCTCGGCCCCTCTGTCGAACAAGACAAGCCATGTGGGCGCTGTGAGACAGGCCAGTATTAACGACGGCAGACAGTATCCAGAGTGCCTACAACTATCGAAGTTTTAGAACCGGAAAGATCCGCCACTGTCACGGTAATCGGAATACAACAGCCAGAACTAAGCACCGGTACATTCTTATCGCTATGAGCGTAGGACTATAGGAGCAAACGCGGGAAAATAAATTAAAGAAAGAAAGAAAGAAAGAAAGAAAGAAAGAAAGAAAGAAAGAAAGAAAGAAAGAAAGAAAGAAAGAAAGAAAGAAAGAAAGAAAGAAAGAAAGAAAGAAACCAGAATTGCATATATAGACTGCTGCCATGTTTGGTGCAGCTATACGCCAGCTAGTCCGGTATATTGTTACGCGGCAAAGTTTATGTGTCGCAACTAATAATGCTGTTACAAAAATAACTTTACCTAAAGCTCGTTAAAGGTCAGCCAGTAATTTACTCGCTCTGACAGCTATAAAGGACGTAGAAAATTTTATTTCGCTAGATATCTGGCTTATACCCTAGTATTTATTGCAAACAAAGACAGCACGGAAAGACATAAAGGCTCAAGCAGTCACCCTCCCTTCATGACGATGTCTTCATCTTTTTCACTTTACTGCATTGTGTGCGTAAATCATGCTACCATCGAAGACTGACCGTGCATACTTGTGAAGCAAGCTACATATTATAAGACGTGGCACTTTTCTTGCGCTTCCGACGACCATCGCGTCAAGTTACGCAACCATTTTAACGGCAACTGAACACCGTCGCAGGCAGGTCCAGAGGCTTCAATTAGGTTCGGTGATCTCGACAGCTCGGGTTGCCCCACACAGACATACTCATGGTCGTTAATAAGTACATGACACGTGACAAGGTTCATGCAAGCCGAAAGCTCTGCTGTGTCGAAGTCAGGCAACCAAGACGGCGCTACTGATGTACAAAATACAACAATAAATGAAGTGGGGAGTAAAGATGCAGTAAGGTCTTTCGATGGAGAATGAAACATTGGGTTGGGTTATTGATGCATTTCGCCACTACTTAGAGTTTGTATACGGGCAGCGTTTTGCAAGAACTCTGGGAACATATTTATGACGGTCCTGATGCACGCGGTTCTAAATAAATAAATAAATAAATAAATAAATAAATAAATAAATAATCAAGAGTGAAATTGCCTCAGCCAGTGCGATCGAAGGTTATAGCAATCAGATCACGTCTCTTGTGACGCAGAATCAGTTTCAGCGTGAGCAGGCAGTGATGAACGAGTCTTAGGCAACAAGGGAGGCCTGAAGAGCAGGCATGGTAGAAATCCGGCAGTAAACAAAAGAAAAAAACAGAAGAAAACAAGTAAACGTAGCTTAAAAGGCAGCGAGTGACGCTATAAACCACTTTTTGCTGAGTTCTTTGCCATGTCTGCCGCATAATACTCTAAGTGCTTATAAATCTGCAGACCAATAACCTCAAAAACTGCTAGACTTTCTCTGACTGAACGCCTCGAAAACGTGACCGCCAAAACCTTCCAGCGCACTTATGTTTGAGCAACGAACCTTAGTGAGGCCATCGCGATTTTATGCCAATATAACTTAGTTGTGCACTGGCATCAAGTAACTGCCCTAGCTCTTTCTCACGATCTAATCTCTTTATTCAAATATCTTCGCTAATATATCGAGTTTCAGAGTAAGAGCGAGGGTATGCAAAGGCTTGCTTTCCACGTGAATACGCAAGTCGCTTGCGTAGCAGCAAGAACCAAGAGGTTTGGTTATCGTCTACACTTAAGATCTCTTGTGTACCCTACAGTCTCTTTAAGGCTCGCGTGGACCATTACGCATTTCCCCCAGACGAGGCCAAAATGAAAGCCGCTTTGTTTTTCTTTTTTTTTCCTAACAGAGCCATTTATGGTCCGCATGGTCACAAAACGCTGCCGACCTTTCAATAACTAAAATTCAGGTTGGTTATTTAAAAATAGCATTTTTATCAATTTCATTATATAATTCACTATCCCGTGATCTGAAAGATATAATGCACATTATTAGGTTTAGGGGAAAATTTTAAAAAGTTTATTTAATGTGTAACTGCTGCAGTTTGTGAACTTTTCTGAAGTTTTTTTGTTTGTATTCAATTCTTAAACTGCTAATTTAAACACATGGTAATGGCATTCTTACTTGCAATACTTAAAATAAAAGATGCTCTTTTCTTGCTCGTATTTTCGTTTTTCCTTTTTATTATCATAGGAGGTCCCGCTTGTGGTTTGCAACCTTTGGGATCTGCTCCTGCATATTTACCTGCTATGTATAGCATTTCTGACACCAATAACAAAAAACTGATTGATTGATTGATTGATTGATTGATTGATTGATTGATTGATTGATTGATTGATTGATTGATTGATTGATTTATTTATTTATTTATTTATTTATTTATTTATTTATTTATTTATTTATTTATTTATTTATTTGTCGATCGGTAGTCTGGCTCCTGACATCATGTGAGCCATATATTACAGTGCTGCACATGGCCTAAAACTTTTTTTAATTCAGCTATAGATAGCTCACTCTTCTCGCGAAAAAGGATGCGACAAACTCAGATAAGCACTCCATAAACCAAAGTTCACGATCATTGGCTGATTTGAGCATTATGGTTGGCATAGTTACCGCAACCGTCGCGATATGCTACTACGCACCCACTCGTGTGCATGCTTGTGATCCCACAGAGAGCAAGCCACACATTTAAAGAAAAAACGAGCTTCGTGCGAGGTTTGCGATGAAAGGGCAACACTTTCCCACATACTATGAGGTTTTTGGCCACAAAACCGACATAAATCAATAAGCGGCAGTCTCAAAGTGCAGGGCGCGCTGGGAGGAGGGTCTGATCAGCTCCGCATTTATATAGTGAGCCTTCCGGCGAGCCGAGGAAGCTTCCCGAGCCCAAGGGCTCGTGGCTGATGCCTAGGTTGCGGCTGAGGTCCACCCCAAGTTAACCTCACTGGCCATTACTAATGAAATTCTCATTCTTCTTCTTCCAGGCCATGATGACAAAGAGAGAAAGATTGAGGAAAGTAAAAGACACAACTTCTGAAGCCCTAATTGGGGAGTAGATTGAAAGAGAAAAAAGTGAAGAAATAAGTGTGGGGTCGTAACTGTTTCTCCCTACGGAAGTCAAATCAACAACACAGCATGGGGTAGGGGAATGGGGATGAAAGATTAAGAAGTAAAGGATATAAGAGTATGTAAGTTGGTTGCGAAACTTTACTGAGGTCCTGCAAGGCACGCGTCAGCGTGCAGCGGGCGACTCCCACGTCGGGACCGTTAGGCCAAGCCTATCGGCCGCTCCGCGGGCCTGCTGGACGGCCCAAAGTTGGTCGGCCAGGAGGGAGCTGCGTAGGGCCGCCTCCCACCTGACCGATGTAGTGTTAGGGTTAGTGTACATTGCCTTGCACTCCCAGAGCATCTGCGCCAGCATGGATACATCCCCACATGCAGGGCAAGCGTCATTGCGGAACACGTCAGGATAAATAGCATGAAGGGATCTCAGGTTAGGGTACGTGTCAGTCTGCAGTAATCTGAGCGTAAGGACCTGTGGCCTATTAAGATTTTGATGAGGGAGTGGATAAAGTCTCCACGCGAGGTAAAAATGTTTTGTTATTTCGTTGTACGTGGAAGGCGCGTCCCTGTTTTCGCAACCCCGTTGGCCCCGAATAGTTGCCCGGAAACGGCGCGGTCGATTAGCGCGCGCGCGACCTCGTGGGCAGACTCGTTGAGGTTGGGGGGAGCGCCTTGGACCTGTCCAACATGTGCAGGAAACCAGATCAGTACGTGGTGCTTGATGCCGTCGCGGCCACCACTCTGGAGCACGCGCAGGGCTTTCTTGGAGATTACACCGCGCTCGAAAACGCGAATAGCTGACCTAGAGTCACTATAGATGACCTCCCTTTCACCTTCCAGGATGGCCAGGGCGATGACCACTTGCTCGGCAATCGTCGGATCGTCAGTGTGAACCGATGCGCAGCTGGTGATTTGCTGTTTGGAGTCGACGACGACTGCGGAGAGTATGTAAGTGTAGGAAAAAAAAGCGTATTCGGTCTGTCTCCCGCACGCACGCATGAACCCTCACGAGCTGTCTACCGGGAAAACCGCCGAGAAAGCCACCGAGAAAGCCGGGGTAACAGTGGTGTGTACGTTTTAACACGGGCAAAAGAAAGAATAACGAGGTCCCTCAGGCTCACATGGTGACTCCTATTGACCCCAATGAGCTAACCCACAGGTGCGATGGCATCGTGAGCGGCCAAGGCCGCAGCACATAATCCGTGGGTCGGCGATTCCTCCGAGATGGACGCGAGCACAGCATGTATGTCCGCAGCTAGTGGGGCCGTCACAGCGTCCTTCGTATCGTCCTCCAGGACCGGCATGCACAGAGGAGATTGGCGGGTGGCGGCCGAGTTGTCCCGATTGCCACCGGCAAAAGTATCACGGAATAAGACACCCTCATGACAACCGCACAGCCCCACTTGTTGATGGTATTAACAGGCGATTCCGGCTTGCTCCAGAGCTTGATCGCAAGTCATGGTTCCATCGGATGAAGTTATGAAGACTGCGGCTTTGCCCTGGAGCTGCCAGGAAGGGAAGTGTGGTCTGGTTGCGGCGGACAGCCAAGACTGCAAAAAGTGCATGAAGCGTCATCATCACCGCCATTCATCATCATCATCGTTTTCTCAGCCACCACGCCGCGCCTCTCACGCTGCTCATGCTTAGCTCGAGCTGCGTGAGCAACAGAACGAGTTCACGCGCCTGGCGAGTCGGACGCTGGCAGCCGCTGCCGCTCAGCTTCAGCCTACGAATAAAGTGGTGAGATTAGCACGGCCCCGCCGCCCGCCTTCGGCGTCGTCTCACGTCTCTCTACTCTCGCTACAGGGCACAACATATGTGTACGATCTTGAATTACCGCAGGAGTATATAAAAAGGTAACGTCTCCAATAACTTTCCGCTCGCCGAAACCACATAGGGTCAAAATCTCGCGGATGACAGTAGGATGCAGCAGGTGCATTTTTCGAATTATAATCGCTGGGGGTTTTTCCGACTACTCGTGTACCACCGAACTCCAGTTGCGGGGAAGCTGAAGGGAACCCCTTTTCTCCAATAGCTCAGAAAAACTGAAGCCCACCTAAGGAGCGCGTACCTGTTGCGGAGATTTTTCTCGCAGATCACAGGGCAGCAGAGATTCGTTAAGGTACAGATACGCTTTTCTACGGCGGCCTTCGTCTTTTGCGGATTCTTGACAAGTACACTGAAAGGTTCGAAAATACGTCTACGTACAGGTCAAATTGTCTTGAGAAGCCTGTGAAACCATGTCACGTGTACAGAAAGCGCGATGTGACATACGCACAAAAAATGGCCCCGTATCTGCATGTTTCACTGCAAATTTCGTCGAAAGACGATACTCTTGCGTCTGGAGAGTGGACAAAAATTGGAGGACCCTGAAGCTTTACCTTTAAGAGCTGAACGCGATAGCGAAATCCAGCCCCTAGTGCACCCTTCAACCACTAAGTGCATACTTATTAATATGTTTTGTTACATACACACGCACGTACACAAACACGCACACAGTAGATTGGATCAGCGTGCGTTATTATCGCCGAATGGGCTCGTTTTCGTCGTGACACCTGTCAAACAAAATGCGTTAAAGGGGCCCTGACACACTATTTCAAGTAACCATGAAATGAATTCAGTAGAAGAGCTTATTGCCTCACGATTTCAATGCCGCAAATATTTTAAGCATCCCTCCAGTGCGAGTTGAGTTACAAAGGTTTGTCGCATGCTGCAATTGGATTATCTCTTCTCTCGTCCCGATGAAAGCGCTGGAAGCTAAGCCGAAAGGAATGGCAGGGCAAAAAAACTACCATGCCTAGTGACCTTGAGCACTTTTTTCTTCTTCGAATGCGCGGCTTTTCAGTGTGATCGCGCGCGCACGCGTGGACAAGTAGCGGTCTCCCGCGGCTATCCCGGTAACTTGATTTTTTTATCACACATTCACAGACAATTTTTTGCTCACAACCAACAGGGCCGACGCCGGCGGTGGGTTTTCTGCGACACGAACTTTTTAACGCTCTCGCGTTGAAACATTTATTTAATGTTCTGCGCGAGAAAATTGGTGAGTTGTATTCTAGAGGCGCTGCGTTAGAGAGTCTCGATCCGTGCAGCGAAGATGAACGAGCACATCGAGGCACGTTAAACACGAGAACTATCTGGCAGTTATCTTCGAAAACGAAGGAAGGCGTGCGCGCTCATCTTGGAGGCGATGAAGTGTAGAAGGCAAAGCGACGAGCAGTTGCCACCACCTTGTCATCTTATCAAAGCATTGGAAACACTTGCCTTTTTGAGCATCACGTTGCATTGTCAACGAAGTGTGATAAACGCTAGGGACCTTAGAATTACTTATGTATGCATTCTGTAGTATAAAGACACACATACAAAATATTGAAGTGTTGTTAAGGTGCCTCAGATATGCGCAATATTTAATTTTTGCGTCGAAGTACCCCAAGAAAGACTATCGTCTTTAAAAGATACCTTGTCGACCCAATTGAGAAGCTAGGAATAAAAATAAACGTGGCAGTAGTTTTATCTTTTGGAGGGATTACATTAGGTTATAGTCACGGGGAGGTTTGCTCTGCTGTGTGTGCGTACATGATGGTAACAAAAAGATTGTCTTGTTTGTGTGTTGTGATTATATTTTCGGCTCCCAGATTATCCGACTGCCTGACCGCTAGCTCGTGTAGCGTTTTCATACATTTTTACGATTTGTTTTTTAACTGGAATTTATTTCTTCTTTTTAAATGCATAACTAACTTAAAAAACTTGCCGTCTGGTTCTTGACCGAACCCCCTTTGTGGGTGAGTGTCATCAATACGAGAAGTTCACCATTATCATAAACATCACCCAGATCACACATTCTTTTTGTCATCACGGCACACAGTATGCAAGGCACCCACTATACGACGTGATGATGACGCTGGTGACGATGCAGATGATTACGATGATGATCACGGACAACGACCTACGACTAGCTTGTGCAGTATGCGACGTCTCGATACGCTCTACGATGCCTTTCGTATGACTGGAAACAACCACCAGGGGAGCATGCACAGACCTCGTCCTTGCCAACTTCAAGCCACATCCTATACCATAAAGCTATAATAATGAAGGCAAAATGAAATGTACCACTCACCAGTCATGACCAATAAATATTGTATATAACTGTGCACCACTTGACATTTATTTAAATGTGGGGATGGTCGGTGTCATGGATGATTTACAGTAACACCAAATGATCTCACTGCTTCGCCCACTCGTCATAGTTCATTTCGTGGATATGCCATGGTTTGTTTTTTTCTTTTTCCTACTCAGTCGCTTGCATTGATCCTGCGCCGCCACCCTCCGATATAGCTTTATGCACCCAATTAGGTTTAGCACTGCCCCAGGATTGGAAGAACTCCATCTTGTTTTCTACCGTCTTCATAATGGGCTCACCGAGTACCAAGCTAACATGCGTGGAATGACGTCACTTCACTAACACGTCATTATAACGTCCCAAACTTTGACATTCTGTAGTGTCATTGGGCGATAATTAATTTTGCATGACTTGTGGAGGCGCCCATGAGAGACGCTGTCACAAGACGCCGGTCAATTTTTGCGTTTTATGAAGCATCTGACACTTTATAGGCATTAACTAATAAACAGTATCAGAAGTATCGTCTTTTGCGATGTGGGAAAAAATGGGCCCCATCAGCAACGTCGATCACGTATGAATATTTGAATAAGTTGAAAAGGGTGCTTTTCGCATGAATCGTTTTCTTTTTCTAACGTCTTAATCGTTTGCGTTTTGATGAGAATTCACCTTATACAATTTATTTAAATTTAGTTTCATCCCTCTTTCTTGCTTTTGATGGTAAATGGGGTTTAGTGTAATTTAATTTAGTTCTTTCTGTGCATTTTTTACACTGTACTGGGTGGTCGATCGCCCTCTGTTATAATTAGGCTTTTTAGTTAGCAACCATTGTTGTTCAGGAAACAAATACCACCACAGCAATTGGCGAGTGAGCCTCCATCATTCTAAATCTGAACAGTAAATTTTAAAGCCGCTCGATTCTTGGCCAATCCCCCACAGTGGGTATGCGCCACTAACAATAGGAGAACAACAACAACAACAGCGCGAGGTTGGGCTCTCGTGATATCGAACGCGAGCTCGTGGAACCGACCGGGTGAAAGCAAAGCCGCCGTCAGTTTTTCTTCGAGGGTCGCGGTTGAGCAGACTCGTCGTGAGATCCGCTTCAAGCAACTACTTCAAGCAACCTACAAGGTGCGATGCTGTTGCGAAGGGCAGAACACCGTTGAACCAGGACTCCAGCTGCATCAAGCGGAATTACCCGAACAGTGAGGGGGACAACCGTCGCTAAAACCACCCACTCGATAGCCGAGACGCCCACAAGCCAGACAACCCGGACCTAAGCCTTTCCCCAGAAAGCTTCGAAGAGCTTCTCTTAAACCGAACTGGTGTCTCTCAAAGTTAAGCTGCGCAAGATGGAATGCCCTTCGACGCCGAATGTGGACAGATTCTAGCCGACATTGCATCCGTCGCTTGCGGGCTCGCGGCGTCCTTATTTCCGAAACGTCCTTCACAAGGCTTCTCTGCAGCGCACACTGAAACCGTCAAGCAGTTTGTCAGCTTGTCGACGTCGAAGCAAAAGCGTGCCTGAAAATTAGCAAAGGTGCACTCCTGCAGGAAACGTACCAGGCCAAAGAGTTGCGAAGGCATTTCTTGAACTGGAGAGCCTTCTTGACGGCACTCTTTTTCCTAGAACCCACTTCAAAGGAATCGTGCGTGGCGCCCGAATCTACACATCCACCCCTTCTTGTGACATCGAACGCTGCGCCCGATTCTGCCACCAAGCAGGCTTCATCAAAGACTCCAAAGTACGGCATTAAGGCAATCAAACAAGCACCTAAGGACACTGCTGAATTGGACACCGAGATAAAGAAGGTTTCTGGCAAGCTAGAGGATATAAGCATCAGAATCAAGAAGTGGAAAAGTGCACGGCCAAGTAAGCAGCCCCAAGCCGAAAGCGTCGCCAACCTATTTGCGAAAACTTCTGACACCAAGGAGCCGGATTTGTTTGTGCTGCGTAAGTTTTAAGCTGCCGCATGCGAAGGAATTAATGAGGAGCAACAAATCGTCTTATTTTCACCTTGTTCACCCGTTTCAGTCAAGCCCGTAGTCTGTGAGAAATGTCAGATCTATGTGCTCAGTCCAAAATGTTAGACTAACACTGAGGCTCAAGGTAACCTAACTGCCATACCCTTGCGTTGTATAGCTTTCTTCTGATATATTTATAGAATAATAAAATACTAACTGTATATCTGCACTAGTATCATGAGAGACATGGAAACGTGCGGTTACGAATTAAGCTCTAGTCTATTGTGTCTTTTCTGTACATTGCTTCTGGCATTATGTAATTTGATGTAACCAAGAAGCTGAGAATGTCATAGGCCTGTATCATTCTTCAGACGTAGTGACTGCATGAATATAGCTTCTTTTTTTTTTCATTTGATAAGCCTGTGTGTCGGTTGTGCCGAAGAAACTGATATCGCAAAATGCGTGGCGAGGGTGAATATGACAGGACTTTCATAACGAACCGCGGAAACTCCGGACTTTGAACCGATGACGTGCCAGTACTTCCAGCAGTAAGTAAAATTTGAATTGAAAACCCAGACAGCGTGGCACTATTTTCTGATGGTTTGGCCGCTACCGAAGCCTCCGAAGTTCTATGGCACACTGCCTAAAGAATGTGAATGTTTATGCTGCACGTTTACAGAAAAACTTGGTAACTTTTGTCTTTTTGATTTGTTTAGTTTTCTTGCTTTCACTTGCAGCAACAACGTTGCTGTCTCGTGCGCTGTCCATTCATGTGCCAGAAATGGGCAGCTCCATCCGACAGTTATACATAATCCTGTGGAAAGACGTCTATATCAACCAGATCCGCCGTCACGTCGTGTGGACCTTGCTCGAGCTGGCGTTCACCGTCATCGCCATGTACGGCATCGGTAAAGACAGCCTGCAGCAGCGCTTCGGGGACCCCGTGCCAGAAGAGGCCTTCGCGCGTGTCCAGCCGCTCCATCTTTGGGAATACACCGCCACCAAGATACTCTACACGCCTGACGTGGAACTGCTCGCAAAGGTGGGTGCATTGCTACTTCCACTTCATCACATATCTCAATGCTGCACATCTACTCCACGTGATCATGTGATGCTATTCGGGGTAGCACTTCCCGCGATATCCTGTTTTCCTCAAGTGGCAGTGCTTCAGAAGTATAATATCTCCCAAATAAAAAATTACTCAAATGAAAGTGTATATACAGCATATTTGCAGCCATACTATATACAACATGTACGCGTATACAACTTACAAATTTGTTACCACTCTCACATATTTACTAGAAGAAAATTGGGTAAATCCCTGACTGTTATCGTAAACAACAATGTGTCTTTAGGATTAAAAGACGACAACATAAAGTTGATCATTGAAGCTGCAGTATGTATTATGAGCGATTTAAAAAGCAGCTACTAAAGTGTTATGTAAGGTTCTTGGAAAAATAAGTACGTTATCTAAGATAACAAAATGCATAACAATGAAACGAGAGAGTCTTTTGTTCAAGAGATCTGGATTTATTGGTCTGCCTAAGCTGATAAACAATGATTAAGAGATATTCAAAGCTATGTAACTTTATAAATGTTAAGAAAGCTGTGCAAAACTCATCTTCATTGGGTCAGTGAGGGTCGCCATAGGTTGCAAAATATATGGCGTAAAAGATATGTTAGGTATTCTCATTGGAAATGTCGATGAGTTAATAAAATGTAGCTCAGTGAACCAATACTGACCAGGGCAGCACATTTTGTAGCTCTGACAAACTCTTGATTGGTAATAACCAGCAACAATATGCAATATCTTCACTTACGCATGGTTATTAGGTTCAGTGTTTCGGGGGGAGGGGGTCTTGCAAATGATATTCAGCTGAAAAGCCAATCAAGTTGCTATTGGAAATTTCAGCCTTGACTCCTTAGAACACAGTGGTGTCATGTAAGAGTCCTGGCTGTCATCACGAACTTCTCAAAAACTCAGCATTTTCTCAAATCAACGTGAGAAAACGACTTCTCAAATCGACATCATATGCATTTGCCGTGAATGCACGTACGGAAATGTTGAGCGCGGTATTTCATCACCAGCTGTAGCGGAATAACTTTATATGCTTTATGAATCAACGAAAGTTTGCACAAGGCAGAGGGCCCGAGACAAAAGTGGCGGCACTTCATTCTCTTTGAAACGCGAGCGCACAACACGTGTGACATCTCTAAGTCCATCGCCTTCAGTTGCCAAACCGTGATAAACTATATTCTGGTCAAAGCTGTTCGACCGTGCGTGTAATAGTAAAGGCCTTGTGCTGTTGTGATTTACTCAAAGAATTTGAGATCTTTTGGTGATGTCACCCACCATGTTGACCTAGTGGATAGTGAACTTGGCTATTGACCCAAAGATGAATGAATTGAACCCAAGTCGTGGCGGCCGTATTTCTATAGAATAGCTAGAGGGCCATGTGCCTATATTTAGGGGCGCGCTAAAAACCTCATGTGCTCGAAGTTTCCTAGGCTACAGCGACTATTAAAAATACCCGACGGTTTTAGGATGTAAAGCTCCATAAATTATAATAATATTAGGTGATACGTCAGAACCCGTGAAATGCATCCAGACGCGATGTCCTGACACGAAGTGGGTGCAGGTGATGCGCAAGGTATGCGAGGATCTGTCCATCGAGTCCGCAGAGGCGGTGGCAACGCCGGCTGAACTGGACGACCGTGTGGAACGTGGCTTCGACCAATACGGTTCCGTAGTGGGCGTCGCCTTCGAGGAGGACCTCAGCAACGTGCACAACCTGCCGGACCAGATACGGTACCGCGTCCGTATGCAAGGCCGTGGGTTCGACATGCACCTGCGATACTGGAAGGATCTGGAGGTAAGGCATGTACACTGTCGTTCTTTATGAAAGGGAACACGCGAACGCGTGGCCTGCACTCTGCCGCGGCTGTCTACAGCACCATCAACCGACAATTGAAGAAAGCACGTTAGCTTTTGGCGTCATCTATGACCAAGCACGATAACGAGTTATGGCTGGTAGACAAGTGCTTGTAGATTACATTCCCTCACCGCTCACGTGGCGTATGATACCGGGCGATTACTGCAGCTTGCGCCACGCGCACAACCACTGATATGTTGGCAGTGGACTACGCACTGCAGGTGTGAGCAGGGATGCGGTGCAATCTAGCAGCGCTTGTCTACCGGCCATAACTCGTTATTTTTTTTTTGGCAACAGATGACGCTGAAATCGAACGTGTTTTCTTTTGCTGTCGGTTGACGGTGCGGTAGGCAGCCGCCGCAGAGCGCAGGCCACGCGTCCACGTGTTCCCTTTCATAAAGGACGACAGTGTACATGGCTACGGAGCATGGCTTCAAATTCAAAATCCACAATATTGGTCTTACCCGTGCATTGGGAAGATAGAGAGGACAGGCGTGAGTACATCGATTAAAAAGTGGTGGCAGATCGTCTCATGACTGGAGATAAACTGCCTCAGAACAGCTGTATAGCAAGTAATAGCATGTTATGTCGTAACTCAGACGTGCGAAGCAATCATTTTCGTTAGAACTGCAGACGTTTCAACGGTATTGGTACCCCCAGCACAAGTTTCCTGAAGGGCTTCTGCATTAGCAGACTCCCCATATCACTTCTCCAAAAAGAACTACCACGCACAGCGCACTAATATGTGGCGCATCTTGTGCGGAATGATAAGTGAGCAGCTGTACAGAAATAAATGTGGCAATGCGATAGAACGAGGCTAGAACAACAGGGCTTCTACCTGTTTTTTTTAATATAATGACCTAGTCTTGCTTAAGCTAATTCGGAGTTCAAATTTTCAGTTTTCACTTTCGTGGTTCACACAAGATTTGAAATGTTCACTGGTGCAGTCTCGTAGTCACAGGCATTTCGTGGTTACTCGCATGTTAATTTTCTTATTCTTCACTGAAATGTAGTACATACAAAAAGCGTGAACACCTGTTTTGTCGAGAAAACGTCTGAAGCGCTCGTTGGTCGTTCGCACTTGCCTCAGACTCCCGGCCCCCTGAACGTGTACTCGACGAGCGAGATGAACGCCTTGCTGCCCCTGCAGTACTCTCTGGAGCACCACATGCTGCACCAAATTTCGGTGGCACTGTTCGGAGAGGCGACGGCTGCGCCGCCTCAACTGCAGCTGCAGCGCTTTCCCTATCCGGCCTTCTATCCCGAGGGTTTCAACAGCACTTACAGCCGCATAGTGTTTCACTTCGGCGTCGGCTTCCTGCTTCCATTCGCCTCGGTCGTCGCCAAGATCACGGATGAGAAGTGCTCTGGAATGCGGGTACGCCTCGCATGGCACTCACTCAAGCAGGCTGTCAAACTTTCTCAGAGGTGAGGTAGAAAGCTCGGTCGATCGAACAGGGCTAAATCCACGTATTAAGTACACTTGAAAGCTTGCATATGAAACAACTTGTCGAGTAAAAATTCTGTCAATCCACCAGCTGGTCTGGTTGTCTGGCAACCACAAACAACCACTTCGACAGCCACGCACTTCGTTTGTTTTATGTGTCTTCAGTTCTGTGTTTTGACAGCCACAGACAACCACAGACTTCTATTCGTCTTAAGTGTCTTCAGTTCTTCAGTTCTATGTTTAGACAGCCACAGACAACCACAGACTTCGTTTGTCCAATGTGTCTTCAGTTCTCCCACTTATAACAAATTAACAACAGTACTAAAAAAGAACAACAACACAAGCGCAATGTATCGTACGTTACTTCACTCAAATTTTGTCACTTGCATAAGGGCACGAGACTACTTTCATGGTAGAACTGTAAACATTATGAACCAGTACCAAGTCACCCAGCTGGCAGGTCTCCTGCCTCCTGCTCTGTGTATTATTCAACGTATGCCCCTTGTTAACAAATCAAACAAGGCATAGGTGCAGGAAGGTAGGCGCTTAAGTTTGTGGAAAATATCCAAACGGGAAATAGACTCAATCTTACAACAAGACTTGTCTCATCAGTGTACCAACCCCCCCCCCCCCCCCCAAAGACAAAACGTCCTGAAAACGATGACTCCAGCGATATTTCCTCTTCCAGAATTTTTCATTAGAGACACCCTGCATTTAAAATGCTCACGTGGTGTCACCTTGCCTGCACTTACACCAACTAGTGAGAAAGAAATTATTGGTCACTTGCACCTTACATAAACGCCCGATCTAGTCTTGAGCGCATTCTATTGCGGTTTGCTCACGCAGGAGCTGCTGAGCATTGCCGGCACGAGCGATCTAATCTACTGGGGTAGCCACTTCCTGAGCGCGTCGTTCACCACCCTGCTGCTCAGCTGCATCTGCATGCTCTTCCTCTTCGTGCTCGGCACCGAGCCGGCACTCAGCTACTCTGACCCACTGCTCGTCTTCGTCGTGCTCATCACATTCAACAGCCTCAGCATCCTGCACGCCATGTTCGTCTCGGTCCTGCTCACCAGCAGTGAGTTATCTAATCAATTAATTATTCACCAACTGCATGAACTAGTGCAACCTTATAAATTCTTAAGGAGCAACTGAGTCTTTATTGACAGCAGTCTTGCGCTAACAATTTTCGTTCTAGAATATTTCATCCAATCACGATGCGGGGCATACTATTAGCGAAGCTGGCGGACCTATGGGGAAACACACTTGCGTAAAAGAAAGTTTGTGAATTCGACCCCTGATTTCATAAATCTGTGACTGTGAAATCAATCAGACTTATGCAGTTTTATTGGTGGAACATACACAATAAGGGCCCGACAAGCGTGCTAGTATGAACAAATTACTTGACTAAAATAGTGCATAGACTTATGGTAAAGAAAAATCAGCTTATTGCTTCCGTATCATGCGATACTTGACATCTGATCTGAGGCAGCTCAAGAACGCCGCTTTTGCATTGTTAGTGTTAAATAACTATGAGATAGAACAGCTTGCCATTGGCAGTTTTTATTCCACTTCTATACCGATACCGTATCAGCTTGTTTAGTGATGCCTTATGCCACTGTTCCGTGTTGCTATACCATGCTACTGCTGTCCTTATGCGATAACAGGAACGTGGCGTAGACGCCCGCCTTTCGTGTAGCCATCTTGCAGGCTAAATTTTTGATTTCGCATACAGGCGAGGTTATCGGCGAGATTCCTTTAGCTCAGCTAATTTTGACAGCTCAGTGATTCCACTTACGTTTATGTTGGCATAATTATTTCAGAATGTCGAGCTCTGAGGTGCAATTGACCGTATCTTCCACCCAGGTCGACTCTCGATTATCTTCTCGATGATATACTGGATCTGCAGCATCGCTTTTCCCTACCTGATGCTTCAGAACCCGCTGGGTCGTGGCTACTACTTGCGCAGCCGTGCCTCCAAGATAATTACATCCACGTCACCGGGTATGGGCCTCCATTGGGCATTCATGGTCATCGAGCGATTCGAGCGGTTCCGTAAGTGCAGAGAAGGCCTTCAATTCATTTAGGCATTCAGTTAATATTGTGTTCGCGATTTTTTTTTTTTTTTGGCAAAAGCCTCAAAGGTTTAATCAACCACAAAAAATCACTGTCGGCGTCAACACGAACTGACGCAGGAAATCATCACGTGGTGACTTAATACTAACGTGTGGGGTTTTAAGTCCCAAAACCACGAAATTTTTTATAGCTATGGGCGATGGCGTAGTCGAGCGCTCTTCACTGGCTCAGATGTTGCACAGTGTACGGGCCTCTGCCATTTCGCCTCCATTGAAATGCGACCACCACAGCCAGGACCAAAACCGCAAGCTTCCGGTAAGCGACTGAGCGCCGTCAACACTGGTCGATCGGGTCAGACCACGTAAATACGCCTTCTTGTGGCGTGCGTTACTATGACGTCATATCATGACATCGTTACGTATTCAAAGCTGCGCCACTCCAGGAAGCACTGCAAAAGCACGCGAGGTGAAGAGAGCTTGATGATTGATATGTGGGGTTTAACGTCCCAAAACCACCATATGATTATGAGAGGCGCCGTAGTGGAGGGCTCCGGAAATTTCGACCACCTGGGGTTCTTTCACGTGCGCTCAAATCTGAGCACGTGGACCTACAACATTTCCGCCTCCATCGGAAATGCAGCCGGGATTTGATCCCGCGACCTGCGGGTCAGCAGCCGAGTACCTTAGCCACTAGACCCCCACGGCGGGGCGTGAAGAGAGCTTGAATGAAGAGACAGGGCCAAATAGTTTCAAGTCTCGCAAGCTTTCAGGAATCAAGTCTGGGCTGAATAAGCAATCCTACGATTTGGAAATATATATATATATATATATATATATATATATATATAGGCAGGCATGGTGGCGAAAATGGCCGTAGCGTTGCAATAAGTCAAGTAGATCCTCCAAGAGAACGGTAACAACGGAAGTGTTTAATTCGACAGTTTCGGCCAGAGTCTGGCCTTCATCAGGACTCCTGATGAAGGCCAGACTCTGGCCGAAACTGTCGAATTAAACACTTCCGTTGTTACCGTTCTCTTGGAGGATCTACTTGACATATATATATATATATATATATATATATATATATATATATATATATATATATATATATATATATATATATATATATATATATATATATATATATATATAATATATATATATATATATATATATATATATATATATTTCCGACAAACTCCATGGTGTACGGGGTAATAAATGATCATTGCGACATTTATTTTGAATTTTTAACAGAATGAACGCACCTTTAATAAGTTTAGTTGGAAGCTACATCTACAAGAATGTGTCCAGTTGTGAGCGCCATTGATCGCACTTATATATCACGTGACCAGCTTTTGGTTAATTTTACTAAACGCAAGTCGTATAAGCGATTTCGCGGTGTTTATTTATGTAAAATGAAAGTAATGGCGGTATGTTGCAAAGGTCAGGATTCGAAGTTAGCTGAAATAAACTATCGATGACTACGTTCCTAAATCTTCTTCAGTCGTGTACCACATGAAGATCTTGCAGGAGTACGTTCAAAAAAAGTAATGAGTGAGCGAATTGGTATTTTGTTTTATATGGGCGGAAATAAAACACTTTGTCTCTTGCCGCACAATACCTCTTAAAAAATAGGAATGCTATAGAGCAATATTATAACAACTAATACTAGCTTGAACAACTGGTAATTCACAATTGTGATTTTGAAAGCTTGTCAAGAAAGCGTGCCTTATCAAGCTCGTCGAATCCATGGAAATAACAATTAGGCTACGAGTGCGACAGCACTCTCTTGAATTAAATTTACAAACGCAGCATACACTCGCCATGTTCGCGTTGTCATTGAAATGGCAAAGAAAGAAACACTGAAAATCTACATGAAGCCATCGGCGTTTCTTCACGGTGATGCTTGTGCTGCATGCTGCTTATGTATTCCTGCTGCTGGGAACTAAAGTGCAATGACGCCGCTCAGTGGATCGGTGCTGCCATCGCGGGGCGCAATAATGCACTGCTCTGTTTTATGGCGGCGCGTTTAAAGCAGGCGTTCACCATTGAGTAGAAAAAGTGACTAAGCTAAAAGGCGAGATGCACATCATCGCAGCTTCCAAATTCCGCGTTTTAGGACCCACCAGCTCAGGTACCTGTTACGCAAACGCATCCATCCGGAAAACAGCATGGATATTTTGTCGTGCTTGTAATCTGGGGTGTATTGCGAGCTGTTGTAAGATATAAAAGGAAATGAGGCCCTCAGCTTTGCATTAAAATGCTGCTTATATGCATATGGTGCACCTTTGAATAGAAAGCAACAAAACTCTATAACCTACTAAAATTAGCACCAGTTTCAAAAATAGAAATACGGTGTATTAAAATATTCGAAAGGTTACCATGCAGCATTCTGGCTTATGGAAAGTTAATCGCCCTCCGACATTCTTGTAATTACGTTGACAGCCTCGACTCACACGAGGACTGCGTGTTATTGTTCTTGCGTTCAAACTTATCATATTGACAACAATGTTCCTGTAAGAGCTGTATTAACAGTAATAGAGCTAACTGCTCATGTTGCATCGCCGTTGACTCAAAACTGCAATGCGGTCGCTCCATGCGATTTTGTCGAATTCAACAGCCAGCACTGGCGAGAGAATGTCTCGACGCGCCTGACATTCGAATACCATGTATGCTAGAGAAGCCTCGTTCAGACAGTAGTCGCATCTGTATTGAGTGTCGTATCGCGTAACAGCCGCAACATCAAATTGCGTTGCAAGCGACCACGAGTGTTCACATTATGCCCTTCGGCACAATACTGGCTGTACTAAAAAATGGGACTGTGATAAAGTGACGTCACGCGGTGACGTACTAAGGAGCAGCTAAGCAGCCACCGTTTTTGGGTCGACCACCCTGAGTGCAAGTAAGGGCTCCGCTTAACTTATTTCAAGCAAATTCGAAATAAGTATTGCTGTTCAGTTAAACACTTAAACTTTCAAGAACATTCATCTTAGCAGCTTGTCTAAAGGAATGTGCGTGCCCCACCATGGTGGTCTAAGGGTTGAGGTACTCGGCTGCTGACCCGCAGGTCGCGGTATCGAAACAAGGCTGCGGCAGCTGCATTTTCGATGGAGGTGAAAATGCTGTAGCTTAAATTCTGCATGTTAAATGATGCACGTTGAAGGACCCCAGGTGGTCGAAATTTTCGGTGTCTTCCACTACGGCGTCTCTCATAATCATGTGGTGGTTTTGGGACGTTAAACCCCATTATATCAATCAAGGAATGTGCGTGCTTTTTGTTATGGTAAAAAAAAACTAGAAAAAAATCACAGGGTTCCTTACACATTCTTCTAAGACTACTTGAAGGTGAAAGACATACCTCTCTGCTCAGTCGATGCATTGATCCTTGTCCACACGCCTCGAAAAGGGTCTTGCAGCTAACGTGGTTTTACACTGGCTCCGTGACCGGCCTACTGTGGACCTAAAGACTGCAGTGGGGACATCTTCATGTGACGTCTTGTAGGTGTCACAAGTTTTGGCAATCTGTGGCACTATATTGTGGCGTCATAGGGTGATTACATTGTAGTGTGGGCTACAGCGGCTTAGGTTGGGAAGTTTCACGCGGCTTATCGATAGCCGTGCTGCGCATGCCCGAGCAGCGGTGGCAACACACGGCACACAGCTGGTGCGCTCATTGCTGATCTGCGCATTCCAGATGAGTAACGTCATAGGCGCGAAGAAGCACTAGCGCCAGTGCGTGCCCAGCTGTGCGCCTCCATTGCGCAGTGGTCGTGTGGAGCTGCACTGCAGCCACTTGATAGCGCATCTCATTGTGCGTGCATGCGCAGAGGTATCAGTGATGGTATGCGTATAGCAGAGTGTCGATTTCATTGATATGTCGGGTTTAACGTCCCAAAACCACCATATGATTATGAGAGACGCCGTAGGGGAGGACTCCGGAGATTTCGACCACCTGGGGTTCTTTAACGTGCACCCAAATCTGAGTACACGGGCCTACAAGATTTTCGCCTCCATCGGAAATGCAGCCGCCACAGCCGGGATTTGATCCCGGTAAGTGCGGGTCAGCAGCCGAGTACCTTAGCAACCAGACCACTGCGGTGGGCCATAGCGGAGTATTTGCCACTATGATATATCAACGGAAAATGTGAGTGAAATTGCGGTGACTCAGTGGCGCAGAACGGTGGAGAATCGGATTGTGGATATTTTTGCAGCAAGGTTGTGAGAAGACGACGCGACAAAGCAGCATTCAGCAGTTTGAGAGGAACCTGGCCACCTAATAAACTGAGCAGTTACAGCGCTCTGCAGAAAATGTCATATACGTAATGCGTGAACAAAACAGTAAAGAACCTGAAGCTTAACTCATGACATCGCGAAGTAGTTGCTGGGTAATAAGCGGCTGAGCTTAGCGAAAACGAACAGGACACTAAAAGTGCTGTGCAGACACCAGAGTAAAAGTAGGAAAGTCTAGCAAAGCGGCGTCGCCAGAAATTATCGCACGCTGCGTACATCTTGGCATAGCCGAGCTAAGCCGCTTTTTCTTTTCGCATCACTCGAGTGGTCGCCGTCGTCGCGGGATGGTAAATTTTAGCCTTTGATGGGGCTTTTAATACTGCGCTCCCAGTTTGCTGAACAATTATGAATTACGAACTAGCCCACCTTTCCATCCTATTGTTTTTAAGACTTTAGCTCTAAAATTGTATCAACAAAAAAAGTGTGCCTGAAACACGGTGACCAGCGTTTCAATGGGCAGCCGTATCTAGGGAAGGTTGTTTTGTGACCATTCGCATGATATTTGTTAATCATTTGGGGATGATACCGCATGATGGCGCTGTTCATGGCTTTCATCAGACAATGAATCAGTGGCGCTTTATCGCTGTTTAAACGATAATCATTTCACAGTGCGCCTCCGTCTGCTGGCTTCTTATCATTACGCGTTTGTCCTCCTTGCTCTCAATGTCAAGCAACTTGTGAAATGCGATCGTACTTCAATCAGGAAACTGACTGCACCACTCTTTCAATCTAAACGTTCGTTCAACAGGTGGCGGTGTTAACTGGAGCAATATGAACGACTCTGCGTCCACTCTGGACAACGTGAGCCTGTCGGACCTGCTGATGGTGAACGTGTGCACCTGCTTCTTGATGATATTTCTCATCTGGTACATGGACAACATTATACCTTGGGGCCCGGGCATTCACAAGCCACCGTGGTTTCCTTTCTTGGTACGAAGATTTCACAGCACATTGATTTGTAACAGCAACGAAGAAACGTCTCCCTTTGATTTTCGCTTCACTTTAGTATAGTTTAACTTCACAAGCACCCCAGCAACTGCACTGGATGTTAAGATGGGTTGCCGTTTGACTGCAGCGTTGCTGAAACGCTAAACATGGCTCTCGTAACACCTGCATTAAATATAATACCAAATTGTGTGCATCCCATGTAACATACATATCACTATCCCATTTCATATGGGATTCAGACATGATCAGGGCACAAATATTTAAATAACTTGTGAAGTTCACAAGGGTCGTTAACTATCAATCGTGTGCGCAAGGCAACATCGCTCTTATTTGAGTACTACTTGCCTACCGCATGGTTTATTTGTTTAAGTTACTTTTAATTAAAACAGATTGTCAAACCGTATCCCCATGTACATGACTAGCTGCATTTTCTTCTGTAATATGAATATATTTTAGGCACGAACTTTTTCTTCATAAACGCTTCCCTCCTCTCTTACTGCAGTGCTTAAAACCGTCATTCTTTTCAAGCATTGAGATCGTCGCTCTTTACACACGTTAACTCGCTTCTTACCACACGAAATTGACTCACTTTACTACAGTATTTCAAAAGCAATGGTGACTACAGCATAATTATGTTTACTAATGTTTTCTTCCCCCTTCTCGTACAGGGAATTGGACGAAAATAAACTAGTAATGTTTATGAGTAGCCATATCTGAAAGGCAGGTGGCTGAAAACACGCTAGGAAATTTTCGCAAGTTTTGTTTTCTGCCTGCAGAAAAGCTACTGGATGCCTCAGCCCGCGAAAAACGTGAAGAGCCGCCCAAACCCGGACCCAACACTCTTCGAGGCAGACCCGCAACATCTAATTCCAGCTATACAAGTCATTAGCCTTAAGAAGGTACAGTAAAGTTGTTTGTCTTATATATTATTGGCTGCGTACACCTAACAAGCCTTTATCTGTACTTGCGCCAGTGTCGCGACTGCGAATATGGTGTTTCTGTGTCAAGCACTTCATCTTACGAATAGCATGTGTCGTTTAGCGTTCAATCAATTAGCTAAATTTATTGGAAAAACGCTTTCCTGTATTTTACATAACTTGGTAGGTAAGCCTCTATATATTAGCACGAGTTAAATAAGACCAAAATATCAATATTAGAATGCAGCAAATACCTTGAGCTTAAAATAGAAAATACCAGCTGCACAAAAATGTGGGATTGTGGTTGTAAAATTCAGGGTCCCGTTGTATACTCGGAAGTCGAGCGTACTTAACCGACCACCACAGTCATCTTTTTCTAGATTTCTTGGATGTGTAAAATTAATTTTTTATGTGTACATGAAGATACGCAATCTTTTGCAGTTGTATCGCAACTTTTTGCTGCAACATATCAACCTGAAGATCTTCCGCCATCAAATCACCGTGCTTCTCGGTCCATGTGGATCCGGCAAAACAACTGTGATCAAGATGGTGACAGGCAAGACATCTTTCAGTGATTCTTCTTTATCGCCTGAGCGTTTGGGAAGAGTTCGAGCCATGATACATCTTGATATTACATTTTATATGCTTATACAGCCAACGAAAGCCCTTAATAAAGGAGAATTGCACGTGGAAACTTACTATGGTACAGCTATCGTAGTGCATAGTTGCAATTCGCGCACAGAAAGGCATGTTCTGAACTTAACGATGGAAATTTTGAGGAGAGGGCATGCCTGTTTACACACTTGTTTCAATTTTAAATAGACTCCTGAGATGCCAAACATACCTCAACAGTATCATACTAAACCTCTTCTTACGTACTAAATGTAGTAGATGAAGTTTCAGAGAAACGTTTGCTGTTGCCATTTCTCGCAGGCCTTGTGCATCCATCGAGTGGACAGATAATTGTAGACAACTACGATGTGGTGCTGCACACCGATGAGGCGCGGGAGCGTATAGCATACTGTCCCGCCGACAACGTGCTCTTCAATGAGCTTACCGTCGAGGAACATCTGCTCTTCTTTGGCATGGTAAGAGCTTTCTTCTTGAAGCGTCTCCTCCGATAATAGCGTGTGGTACAGTGTGATGAACCTTTACGGGGAGCATAGGCATGCGTGATATTCTTTGCTACGGGTAAGGAAAGAAGGAGGAGAAACTCAACCCCCCCTCCTTCTTTTTCCCAAAATTCTCTGACTGAGTTCCTTGCGATCAGTACTCAGTGCAAGGATGAAGTAAGATGGGTAACTGCCACATTCCCTGCATGCCCGCCCTCACATAAATATACCGACAGGAAGTATACCGTTCGTTCATTCATTCATTTTTTCTGAAGTATCTGTCTTACTAGAAATATCTTACTTCATTTATAAGGTATTCCTTGCCCATTCTTAGAGATTTATATCTCGCGATAGAAGAAAACGGGAAGAACTTCTAAAGAAGTGTGCGGCTAAGTGAACATAGGAGTCTATGGCGTGTAGGTCTGCTACCCTTTCTGCCAAGCCCAGGATCTGTACCTAGACCTATGGAGCAAAGACGCATGGACGCAGCGGCAAACCTTGCACGCGTATCAGAAAATGCTCTACATCGGTAACACCCCATAATTCAATTCTGCCATCATTTGTTTCGAGAGCAGGTTCAGCACCTATTCAGTTTTTTTTTTTTTTTGGCAGCCAAAATTAAGACGCTGAAAAGACTCGCAGACATGTATCCAAGCCCATGTTTAAGCTCACCATAGGTGGGTGCGCCTTTTGAAAAAAAAACTTTGGGCTTTCTCTAGCCTAGACAGTGTAAGTCAAGATTAGTTAAGCCTCGTCAGGTCTGGTTGAACATGATCGAGACTAATTAAGCACAGTCTAACAATCAATATCACGTAATAGCCAATTGACAGCCAATAAAAAACTGCAGGATAATTGATTATTAACCAATCAATTGCAGGGGAGTGTAGCCTAGCCCAAAATAAATGGCAATTTCTTGCAATGGCCAATCTATAGCCAATGGGCAGTTAATTAATAGCTAGTAGATAATAGATTCATAATTAAGGAGTTCTAAGGAACGCTTGTTTAAGCTTTACCTACGCGTAATTGGATGGACTATACTTTGTAATCATCGACTGTAATGGTCGGTATTCAACAGCTAATCGATAATCGATTATTAGCCCATACGTTCTACTAAATGCTAGTATGAAATCACTTTACCTCCAAATGCATGGACTATGCCTTGTAATGGTCAATCTACAGCCAATATAAGACTATTTGACAATTGATCAATAACCACTGAATTTTAAATAATGCTTTGTTTAGCTTAGCTGAATTCAAATACATGACCAATACGTTGGTTAATGAATAGCCGGTGAATACACGAATAAACCTATAAAACTTAGCGAAACCAAGCACAACTTCTTAAAGGCTAGGAACAGCCTGGTGCTGATCAGCTCCGCGGTTTCTTAGCCTTTCGCGAGTTGTGTAATCTACACTAATGCTTTTGTGGTCCCTTTTTCTTTTACCTTGTGTAGGTGTTTGGAAGCCTTATGTTGTTGAGTCATAAATCTCTGTCGAATAGCTTAACTTTTGTCGTTCGTATTCACTATTGTCATGTCACAGGCGTCACGGTCATAGTGGACTTTAACCTCCTCTGTGACGGATGAGTACATCCGAATAAATGTTTTTCAAACACCTGGGTTTGCGTGTTGGGTTGGAAACCACGAAAACGACTTTATGGGACTAAGGTAATCATCACATCGCTTGACTGTGCCTTGACCTTTCTTGTTTTCTTTTGTTATTCTTGCTGCGTTACTGATTGTCACGGACGGCCATTTTTGGCGACACCGCGTCACGGCAATTAACGGGCGCCGTACTCCCCGACTGACCGTGATAAACGGCGGCGCATGAAAGGGAGCCGAGAAGTGCAAACTGGGGTGCTCTTCTTTGAACGTCGCCGCCGACGGTTAATCCTTTTGTAACTGTGGCGGCGTCTGCAAGGTCGTAGAAGGCCGCGGTATACCCCGAAAAAGGATTAGACTACGAGACACACCGGCTAAGAGCCAAGCGTTTGACCGTTCCCACGGGGAAAAGCGTGGGAAACGCCCTGGTGGACAAGCCGTATGACAACAACCCGACAGGTTGTCACTCTCGCTAGTTGCGGGCCCTCTCCCAATTAAAAAAGGGGTGGGGTCAAAATATTTTTGGGGCGGAGTTTCCCATCAATTAAACGCGCATGATTGGACCCAGGTAGAGGTCTCTTGTCCCCAAGGAAGAGAGCGAGGAGACACGAGGGGGATTTAAGCGCAGGATTTTGCCCTGCTAGGCAGACTAGTCGCTGACCAACATGGTGTAGAAACAGATCAACAAGCATCTCTTCTAGAAGTTTTTAGTGTGGCTCTGTATCGGCTGGCCACCTAAACTTAGCCGTTCGTCTAGTTGTGACGCGATATTAACGTCTGCAACGTAGACATCGGGACTTCGCCTCGAGTTAGCTCAACCTGCTCGAAGTCACCTGCAAGCACTAGCCTCCCGGAGCCACCAGTGTTGCAACACCGCCGACATCGCAGCCGTGCCAGAACTCTCTTCGACTTCTCGCATCCGATCGTCGGGGACACAACGCTGCCGGTCATCACACGTATGCCTTCACCTGTTTATATCTTCGAACTTTCTCCTCCATCGTCCTATTCTTGTTAGTTTGTGTAGTTTGTAATAGTTCTCTCTCGTAAGCTGATTTATTGTTTGTGTTATATATTTCTTTAATTGTATCAAGTGTCGATGTATTATGTTAGTTGTACTGAAGTGTTGTATTAGATCCCGTGTTGCTGCAATATCACTAGAGTAAAGTTTGCTTTGTTTCCCCACGTCTCTGATCTCTTCACTGTCTCTGCTTGCGTACGGAACGAACCAACCTGCTGTCATTCCCGTCGCCGACTTCGCGCTGGCGACGCTAGAGTGGCAGCGTGTAACAAAACTGGCGTCCGCGAGACAGGACGTTCCGTACAAGAGTAAGACAGTGAGGGGTGAACGAGAACCGTGTGGACAGCGTTGTGATAGAGCCGCACAGTTGAAGCGGTTGCATCCTGCAATGATTGCGCTGTTTTTATAGTGGCATTATAGTGACAGTTGCAGTATGGAGTGTATGAATTTTGATAAGTGGATCGCGTATGGTAAACAGTTAGGCCTCAAGGGCGCCGAAGTGAGACAATGAATTAAGGAGCAGCAGGAACAGGCGCAGGCCAGAGAAAAGCGAGCACTGGCCCGCGAGGGAAAAGAAAGGGAGAGAGAACGAAGAGAAAAGGAAAGAGAGCGCAAAGAAAGGGCGAAAGAACGAGAAGCGGCAAGGGAAGCGACAAGGGAAGCCGGAGAACGGGAGGTGCAGTTACTGCAATTAAAGATTCGCCTCAGTGAGAGTAGCAGGGTGAGCCGATCCAGCAGTGAGCACGGCGATGCCGGCGAGCAACTGTCATTTGAGCGAGACACATGGTGTCAAGGGCTACTCACGGTTCTGCCTTGCGAGGCAAATGAAGCTGTTGCGCGACTCAGTCAGCAGAACGCGAACAACTACGAGGTAGTTAAGGCAGAGATGTTTCGGACATTCGGAACTTCTGTCTGGACAAAAGAAGAGCAGCTCAGACAAGAGTCTGAAGGAAAGCGCGAAACAGAAAGACAACAGTCTGAAAGGGAGGGGCGTCGGAAAGCGCTGGACGTTAAAGTGTGGCAGGAAGCGCTAGAACCAGAGATCGTGCCAGAAAAGGGCCCGCGTATTCTAGAATGCATCCAGGTAGAGTATGCTGAGAACGAGGCCTTGGCCGGTCTGGAGGTAGAGACGATGTCGAAAGACGCTCCTTGCGTGGATGAGGAGAGTGCCAGCAGCCCTAATGGGCCCAGTAAGATGCTGGAAACCTCCTTCGTGCCTCAAGAGTACGTTTCGACATCATCAAATGTAGGCATGATTAGCACAGTGGCGAATCAGAGCGAGGACGCGACGCTTCAGGAATGCAGCGATGCCGTCGGAGAGGGCCCAGTTAATGGCTTCATCAGTGTTGACGAAGCTAATTTGGCCCGACAGTCCGTCGTGACGCAGAGTTCAAAAAGCGTCATCGGGAGGGAAGACCTAGCACCAGCTCCAACGAGCTTCCCAACTTTTGAGGTTCCGAAGTGACATGATGATGACATCGAGGGAAAGGAGGTACGCAAACATCACCGAAAACGAAAGAAGCGAAAGCGTACTGCACTGTGTAAGCCTAGGACAGATCCCACTCCATCTCGAGAAAGACGAAAGGCTAGGCCATTCATCCGTTTCAAGAAACGTCAATGGTGGCGTTCATGGAGGCACAAGCGGCGAGCCAGGTGTAGAGGGGGAGAAGGAGGTGCGTCACCCGAACGAAACGCGTGGTTCATTTCGACGACTTCGGGAAAGCGGCCTTGCCCGAAGGTTCAAAGTCGAAAAGGCACAACGGCTAAGTACTGCGTGGGGGCGACCACAAAGACACTATTACCCAGGCTTCCCCCCTCTTTCTGGCGTTCCTTGCACATTCCTGAGGGGAGCCGGCCGAAATGCAGAATGAGGCATGACAGCGGGACACAGCCTGGCGTTCGTGCTTTTTGTAAACTCTGGCGTGCTCGAAAGCCGCCGGAAAGGCGACCCCATCGTGTGCGATTCAAGCGAATCTAATTGAGAAAAGGGGGGCGGTCAGTTTGAAGAATTGTTGCACGTGCGTGCTAAGTATGGTTACTTAGTGTGGCTTTGCAGATGCAGACTTCAGTCATAATTTTTGCAAGTTATGTGAGGCGGTGTAAATTGTTCAGAAGGGAAACCGCCGAGCCAAAAGCTAAAAGTTAGCATCAAATTAGTTTAATCATGAGTGCGAAAATTTGCGTAAGGTAAAAACCAAAAAAATGTGCCATTTTTCTAGTTGTTTCAAAGGTTTAGTGTGGTATCGTATGCCTCCACTGCCATGGGGATGTGGCATGAATGAGCATTTGAGGAAGACATTAGCACAAACCGAATGATTTCGTAAATTGATTAAGATTGGCGTGACCCGGTACAGTTGTCGTTGCGCGCATTAAGAATTGAGGTCTATGAGCATGTTATCTTTTTTTTTTCCTTTCGTCGGTTGTTTTCTGTTTGTTTGTGCGTATTTCATTGTTTAAGAAGTGTATTTTGAGTATTTTCTTTTTGCTTGGTGCATTGGTTGTTTTTACTTGTTGTAATGCACATTGAAGGATTGCACTACAGTAGAGGAGCGCACCTGTTTCGTTTTGTTTCGTAGTATACATTCGTGCAGTGTATTCTGTATTGATGGCTGCCGTACACGGCTATTTCCTCTTTTTGTTTGTATGGCGCATTGATATTGTTGCGCGTAACTGAAGTTGGTACTCTAACAATTGTTTTTTTTCCTTTTGTTGTTACTTTGATGCACTCTGGCTATTTATGTTGTGTATGAGAGGGACAGTCCTCATGTCTCCCTTGTTGGTGGTGTTTTGTTCCTTGTCGAAAAAATTCCCCTCCGTGTGAACAAATGTTATGAATAACATTCTGAAAGTGGGGGGCGATGCCACGAACGGCCATTTCTGGCGACACCGCGTCACGGCAATTAACGGGCGCCGTACTCCCCGACTGACCGTGAGAAACGGCGGCGCATGAAAGGGAGCCGAGAAGTGCAAAATGGGGTGCTCTTCTTAGAACGTCGCCGCCGACGGTTAATCCTTTTGTAACTGTGGCGGCGTCTGCAAGGTCGTAGAAGGCCGCGGTATACCCCGAAAAAGGATTAGACTACGAGACACACCGGCTAAGAACCAAACGTTTGACCGTTCCCATGGGGAAAAGCGTGGGAAACGCCCTGGTGGACAAGCCGTATGACAACAACCCGACAGGTTGTCACTCTCGCTAGTTGCGGGCCCTCTCCCAATTAAAAAAGGGGTGGGGTCAAAATACTTTTGGGGCGGAGTTTCCCATCAATTAAACGCGCATGATTGGACCCAGGTAGAGGTCTCTTGTCCCCAAGAAAGAGAGCGAGGAGACACGAGGGGGATTTAAGCGCAGGATTTTGCCCTGCTAGGCAGACTAGTCGCTGACCAACATGGTGTAGAAACAGATCAACAAGCATCTCTTCTAGAAGTTTTTAGTGTGGCTCTGTATCGGCTGGCCACCTAAACTTAGCCGTTCGTCTAGTTGTGACGCGATATTAACGTCTGCAACGTAGACATCGGGACTTCGCCTCGAGTTAGCTCAACCTGCTCGAAGTCACCTGCAAGCACTAGCCTCCCGGAGCCACCAGCGTTGCAACACCGCCGACATCGCAGTCGTGCCAGAACTCTCTTCGACTTCTCGCATCCGATCGTCGGGGACACAACGCTTCCGGTCATCACACGTATGCCTTCACCTGTTTATATCTTCGAACTTTCTCCTCCGTCGTCCTATTCTTGTTAGTTTGTGTAGTTTGTAATAGTTCTCTCTCGTAAGCTGATTTATTGTTTCTGTTATATATTTCTTTAATTGTATGAAGTGTCGATGTATTATGTTAGTTGTATTGAAGTGTTGTATTAGATCTCGTGTTGCTGCAATATCACTAGAGTAAAGTTTGTTTTGTTTCCCCACGTCTCTGATCTCTTCACTGTCTCTGCTTGCGTACGGAACGAACCAACCTGCTGTCATTCCCGTCGCCGACTTCGCGCTGGCGACGCTAGAGTGGCAGCTTCTAACACTGATGTATCCCAGCCAGTTGACCCTGCATACGTTGTACCGCAGCTGAAGGGGCTGCGTATGAGCAAGATTCGACCGGAGATAAACCTGCTGCTCACGGACATCCAGATGTCGCCGTACATGAGCTACCGGCCGTCAACCTTGTCTGACGGGATGAAGCGCCTCCTCTGCGTCTCCATTGCGCTCCTTGTTGCCTCTAAAGTGAGTCGTCCGTTTATTTGACGGAACTGTTTATTGAAATTAAAAATTAAACTGTTTACTAGGCCGTACTGGTGGCTGGTGACCGTAAAGTCAGATAAAAGCGCGACACACTGGCACTGGTAACGGCGAACAGGGCGTCGGCCATTGATGTCAGTGGTGATGCGCGTCGGCTTTTATACAAGTTCTGTCGAGTATTCCAGCGTTATTGCTAGCGGCCGAGTAAGTTCCAAAAGAATCTATAATGGTCGCCTTGTGCGCGTAATCTTGGCAAAACCACCTACTTCAATGGTGAAGCTTCTAGAATACTAAGTCATGGTTAGCGCCGACAGTCTCTGCTGACACTCATTGAGCGCGAAAACCGAATGCAGAAAAAGCGAAAATAACGCTCGGGGCAATATCACGTCGGGGAAAACCATGTAGGTTCTTAAAAGACGCGTCGTAAACAAAAAGCCCACATAGCCTCCAAAACTTCAAGATAGTTTTTTCTTGGGTAAATTTTCAATCCTTGTTTTCCGCCGTAACAAAAGATTACCGTATTCAGTTAAAACCTTTCTTAATACTTTTTGTGGGATTTAGGCCCCAAGGCCACCATACCGGCCTATTGTGTGAGGCCGTAGAAGAGGGCTCCGAAAATTTTCACCTCTTCGATTTCGTATACGTGGATTTAAAGCTAAGCACACGGGTATTTTTTTAACGAGGATTTCAGAAAAAACCTCTGTACATACTGTTTTCTTTGCAATACGTTCAGCTACCAAAGAAGAAATTCAGAGCAAAAAAAAGAAAGAAGCATTTGGTGCAGTACCTGCTCACATATTGCATGTTTTCTCGCTGATAAAACATAGCTTAACGATACGTATAAAACTGTATAAAAATTATCATACGTGCCACGCATTCTAGCTAAGTGAGCATATTTATGACTTGAAAGCACTAACGTGAAGCTACTGTTGCTGACCAGAATGCGTGTATTTCCTTTTGACTTCAGCTCCAAATTTTTTATATATATTGTGCGGGTTATACGCGAGCAAATACGCAGTGAACTTTGTTTTTCAACGGCGTGATCGGTAATCGGGTCTATAAACAAATATTTTTTGCGTGCTCGTTGCCCCAGTGCAAGATCATGATCTTCGACGAGCCGACGGATACCATGGACCCTCACAGTCAGCGCGAGGTGTGGGAACTGCTGCTGAAGGCGAGGCGCCACTGCTGCATCCTGCTGACCACGCAGAACGTGCACGAGGCTGACGCGTTGGCTGACAAGATTGGAATAATGAACAAAGGTCTGCTCTGGTGCAGTGGCTCTCCGGGATTCCTGCGAGAGCGCTTCCGCGCGGGCTACAACATCCGCATCCTCAAAGAACCCGGCTGCGACGCGACTGTAATCGAAGCCCTCTTCAAGCGCTACATCCCGAATGCGGTCGTCAAGCTGGACACAAACTTCGAGGTCCAGTACGCGATCGGAGTCAACCCTGGCAGCCGACGGCTGACGGCCATGTTCAAGGAGCTGGACCGCGACCGAGAAATCCTCAAAATCGGCGCCATGAGCGTCGCCATGTCATCCCTCGAGGAGGTTTTGGACAAGGTGCTGTCTATCTCAACAGTAAAATAGCCCGAATGGGAGAAGGGCATTCAGATCTACACGTGCACTTAGAACTAAGTAAGCAATGATTTAGTTGTGGTTGTTTCAGTTCATTCCCATCGAAATGGCACCACTGTAGCTCAGAATGAGATTGACGTGATCAAGCCTTACACCTAAGCCTTACACTTACATGTAACTTATGGGTAAGGCGTAAGCCTTACACATAAGTTACTCTGGCTGGTCTTGTCGACTTAGTATATGGATGTGGTTAGAGACAGGCTATACATTGAATGCTGCTAAGAGTGCCGCTGACACAAGTGCCACTGCCACCGAAATTCTAGGGATGCTTGCAATGAGCACCTTCTTCAGACTACTGTATAACATGTGCAATACACTATAAAACTTCAGAGGACAGGTTACCCGCTTTCGAACAATGAGAAGTAGAACCGCGTTACCGCTGTTTTTTAGGTGACCAACGACCCCACTATACAGACAGGCGTCGATGCGGGGACCACCGCGTTGACCGACTGCACCTCCGTGTACAAGCCCCGACAAGCTCCCGGCAAGAAGAGGTTTCTACGCCAACTGTCAGGGCTACTGAAAAAGCGCTTTTACGTCTGGCTTCGTGACTGGCACCCACCTGTTGTAAGTTAATCGTAGACAACTTTTCTGGCGTCCAGAATCTCGACGCTAATAAGGAAGTTTGAAATTTCTTTTCTTTTTTTTGCATTTTGCCAGCAATATCTTTTTGGCGATTTACTCGATGCACTTTTTACCTATCAGGCAAATTAAGTTCTAGTGTGTCAGGGTAAGCGAACTTGTTACCGTGATGGTTTAACTCACAATAACCGGTAAATTTCGAAGGCCAACCAGCCTAACGAAGTATGTTTGCGCGTTCATGAATTGCTAGGGGTCTGTTATAATTTGGTGCCATCGTCAAAGAACCGTAAGTCACGTTTGCACTTTGCTGGCTTGTCTTGGTTTTGTTGTCGATGAGGCTCTGGATAACCAGAAAATGTTAAAGTGGAAGGTACACGCTCTTTCAGTGGCCCGTTAACCCTTCAAATATGGGCACCATCATATCTCTGTGTTTGTCTGAATGCACACTTTTAGGGTCGAGACAGAAACGACCCTTTGCGCGGGTGCTATCTGTGTCGGCGGTGTAGTGCGTGATTTTTTTTGCAACCTTTCCTTATGTCTTATTGAAATTCAAATCTTTAGGCACACATTTGAAAACGTTCCGCGGCCCTTGAATGCTCTGAATAGGCCAGTCTGACAAAGGTGACAGGATCAAGTGTCCGGCGACAATACTCGCTGGGAGTAGTTCCATGTGCTGGCATTTACGTAAAGATTCCCAGTTTCCAACTAAGATTACCGCGCTCGCCCGTCATTCGCCTAAATGCCAACATATTCCTCAGTACGTTTTATTGAGGTTAAAGGCTGGTGATTTATATATCTAGTTCAATTGTGCAAATGTCATTTTATGGCCAAATAGCACCACGGACGCCAAAGGCTCTCGTCTTTCGATTGTGCTGTGTGGCAGACGGTACGTCCAAGCTTTCCTCTATTCCGATTTCCTCGCGAATCCTTTCATTCCTACAAACCCCAATGCGATAAGTAAATCGCTCAGAACCAAAAATATAACCTCTGTACCACCTTAGTCCCTGCGATTTTAGAGTTTTTTAAGTCCATAGATCTTTAAGTTTTAAGTCCATAGGTCAAAAAGTGACCATTGGCCTCAAAGCGAGTGGTGCGAAAATTACGTGACGACATGATTCTATGGCGACGCCATAACGTCAAATGTCACCAAAATTGCGATGCAATCATAACGTCTTAGTGTCTTAACGTCATTGCATAGCGTTATCGCTGGGTCAAAGACAGGCTGATCCCGGAGGCTCTAGAAACTACGTGAGGTACTCAAACATACCTCTGGTCTCAGAGGCAGTCCAACATCTATGTCAGGGGCTGAAAGCCTCTCGGTGGAGGGGAGGAAAGAAGTATCATAGACTTATGAGAAAAGATAGCGCTCTAGTCATATTAGAGAAGTTCATGAGGAAGCATGCAAGTTTTTCGTTGCCCGTTTCACGAGTGATGAATGCTTCGAAGGCTAAGAGGTTCCTGGCGCAGGTCCGCTGTGTTGTTCTAAGAGGTTCCTGGCGCAGGTCCGCTGTGTTGTTCCCGTGTGCATGCTGCTGCTGGCGACCTACTTACAACACCTGTTCACCGAGGATAAGATAGTGTCGTCGGACTTCTACAAGGACCGGTTCTTCTACTCCGTCAGGACTCTGCACGTGCCCGCGGTAGGCTTTGTGACGGCCAATGGTAGCACCGATCCCGTGGTACGTCACCTGATTAATATTTTTGCCGAGGAGGACGTCCGCCTGACTGACATCAGCGAGGACCACACCAACTCGCGCCTCCTCGACTATGCCTACGACAAACCGAGGGCTTACACCTACCTCTTGCTATTCGGCGCCGTTCTCGACGAAGACTCTCCGGTTTGTATTTCTTACCATCGACAGTGAAGTCAGGCATCTTTAGTTTTTTCCATCGGAAAGGGGGGGTTAGACGAAAAATAATGTGTGATCGTGCGTGTGTTTATATGTGTGCACGTTGAGTATACGCGTTTGGAGCTAAAAAATTGCGGGGAAGGGGTATCGAACACCTACTGGCTTACCACTGACAATTTTAACGAACACTAGCCAATTAGTAGGTTCTGATTCTTATTGTTAAGCACCAAGTTAACCCTGACAAAAGCAAGCAGAAGCGCGCGTTATCCGTGTCAACTTCATTGAAGCTCACGCTAATTTGAACACAGGCGTGTTTCTCATAGAACATCTTCTTGCCAAGCATGTTAATTAGAAAATGTACATAAAGGCCACTGCCAAGCAGCCTTAACATCCTGTGCAGAGCATCAAAATACCACGAGGACTGGGGAGACATTGAGACGAGCAGTTGTACAGTTTCTTGTATTATGTGGCTCTGCATACTTCTGTACAACCTACCATGGTGACATATGACTGGTGTTCTGCTACCACATACAATTCCCGGGTTTAATACCGCCTACGCAAACCACTCTCCTATTCACATAAACGCGAATACTGATGTAAAGAAAAGCTATCATTCCATGCAAAGTGAACCACCACTTATGAGAAAGATAGGAGATGGGCTGAATAATTGTACGAGGAGCCATACGTTTAGCTCTGTACTTAAAGTGTTTGTTAACAGTGATTAAGCTTGACAAACGTTGAGTAATGTTCACGGATGGTAAAAAAAAGATGATAGTAAGTAAGGGATATTCTTTGCTCACCGCTGTTATAACCTTAACTTCAGCCAATCGTCATAATATTATTTCCTTGTACACTAAAGATTGTTGAATACGCGCCGCCTATTTTTGGCCCAGGTCACGCTATGGTTCAACGGCCAGTGCCCACACGCAGCGCCGCTCATTGTCAACATGTACCACTCGGCACTCTTGAGGAACATTACTGGGCGTCCGACAGCACGCTTCTTCCTCTACAACCAGCCGTACAACAATGACACGCTCGTGGACCACCACAGCAATAACGACAACGGTGACAGCGAGGAGGACGACTTGCAGGTGCAGTGTTGCTAACAGGGCGAGATGCAGTACTTCAGATGAAAGTAAATAGGCTTTTTCTGGGTAGGTAGCATGCGCATGCACACCGTGCCTCTATGAGGCACGCGCGTGGCATGCGCCACAATTTTTGGTGGTCAGAACGTGACGACACGCACGGACCAAGTGACATCTGGTGCCGCAAACATGCAAAGGTTTTCCCCAAACAGAATCGTGAACGCAGGCCTCAGAGATTGCCTACCGGCATGTGGAGGGCAATTTCGAACTCCAAGAGCCACCAGTTTCGATTTCGGTGATCTCTACTAGGGGTGCTGTTCGGACTAGGAAAAGGCCCATTTGACTGTCGGTTGCGTGAACACTATGTGACGTCGTCATGATGATATAGATCGCCAAAGTTTTTTACGTTCTCAGTATGGCGTCATCATGACGTAACAACGTGACGTCACGCTGCGACATTCCCGCTAGTTCAAGAGTGGGCAGATCATGGATAGAGGAAAAATCTGACAATCATGCGGAAATAATGCAATGTCTTCGATTTTAGAGGTAACGTAGGCAGACGTTAAATGCAGAAATCTCACGGCAGGAGTCAGGTTAGGATCCGTAGATTAACTTAGTGGGCCGAAAGGCTTTTGGCTTTGAGTCATCTTTGAAGAATTCGTGTGAGCTTGTGGATTGGTTTTAAAGACGATAGTCTTTCTTGGGGACTTTGACGCCGAAATTTTAGCCTGCCTGTCTGCCTGCCTGCCTGCCTGCCTGCCTGCCTGCCTGCCTGCCTGCCTGCCTGCCTGCCTGTCTGTCTGTCTGTCTGTCTGTCTGTCTGTCTGTCTGTCTGTCTGTCTGTCTGTCTGTCTGTCTGTCTGTACATTTGTCTGTTTGTTCGTGGTAATGATCCTCCTAAAGGCACCAAACGATACCTCAAACGGCCAACCCCATCCACAGGGCCTACTAATATTGTTCAAATTTCAGCGTTCATACTTGTCCAATTGTCAATTAAAAAGCAATTATTACGCATATCTAAGGCACCATAACAACACGCTGATGTTTTGTATGTGTGCGTTTATACTAGAAAAGGCACACACAAGTAATTCTAAGGACCTTGGCGTTTATCACGCTGCGCTGACAGTGCAACGCGACGCTCAAAGGCAAGTATTTCCAACGCTTTGGTACAACAACACGTTGGTGGCACCTGTTCGTCGCTTTGCGTTCTACTCCTTATCGCCTCAGAGACAGGCACGCATCTTTTTCCGCGGGCGCTCACGCATTCTTTCGTTTTCGAAGATAACTGCCAAATGGGGCTCGTGTCTGACGTGCCTCGATGCGCTGGTTTGCCTTCGCTGCACGGATCGAGATTCTCTAACGCAGCGCTTCCAGAATACAATTCACCGATTTTCTTTCGCAGAACATCAAATAATCGTTTAGTTCACTCTCTCCACACGCAAGATTATCGTCTTTCGACGCATTTGCAGGGAAACATGCAGATACGGGGCCAATTTTTTGCTTGTACGACGAATCGAATGCAAGTTAACTGGGAACGTATCTTTTAAAACGCTACAGTCCGCAGTAATAAATACGTTGTTGTTGTTGTTGTTGTTGTTGTTGTTGTTGTTGTTGTTGTTGTTGTTGTTGTTGTTGTTGTTGTTGTTGTTGTTGTTGTTGTTGTTGTTGTTGTTGTTGTTGTTGTTGTTGTTGTTGTTGTTGTTGTTGTTGTTGTTGTTGTTGTTGTTGTTGTTTATATGCCATGATAATGCATACTACGATTATGGATGACTAAGTCGCCCGAGGAGCAACCTTCTGATCAGCAGGCTCGTTCTGCGCTACCCTACAGGTACTGGTGCAGAGCAAGCTGTTTTTCGCCGGCCTTCCTCTCAGCGCTGACGCGCTCCTCATCGAAGTGCTCATGGGCATATTCACTCCGCTGGCGCTGTGCTTTCACGTGGCCAGCTTCGTAGTGTACCCCATCACCGAGCGCTGCTCCAAGTTCAAGCACCTGCAGATGATGACTGGTGTGTCGGGTACCGTCTACTGGCTCAGCAACTTTATCTTCGACACCCTGCTCGCCACGTCCTGCGCCGTGATCTTTGTGCCCACCATTGTCTACAGCCACAGATACGCCCAGAAAGCCGAGTACATAGGTGACCGACACATTTTTCCGGCTTTCGTCAGAGTTACTTTTCTCTGTATGACACTTCACCGCAAAACCGCACTTTGTGTCAAGATTCTCGTGAGCAGGTCTGGGGGAAATTTTCAAGCTCTTTTTTTTAATGTTTTTTTTTGTTACCCGTGGAATGAGAACACTAAACATGCGAATGCGCGCCCTTGCGAAATGCGTGCCCTTTTGAAAGCGGTTAATGCATGCCGTGCTGATAGCCCACTCAGAAGGGGCCACTGAAGTTTTACAGCAGTCACAAGCAACCGGGTGTTCTAGCACTCCTCTGTTGCTCTGACTCTACAGCACTAGACAGCTTGTTTCGCAATAATTCAGGTGTCAGCGGCGGCGCCATTGGTTGCGAGCGTGGAACCAGCCATGGTCGTGAGCGAAACTTCAGGAACGGCCGTTTTCGAGGTAAATGCGAAGAAAGAAGTAATAAAAAGTCTTTGCTTCGAGGGGTCCAGAAATTGATACTAGTGACCCTTCGCTCCGCAGCGCGATTCGTTGAGCCACTCGGCGCAGCACATATACATTTTCTAGCATGTTCACAGCAAGACACCCTCTACGGACTCCGCTGAAGTGCGTAGCAGAAGCTTCACTACATCCCCGCGAGAAAAGCAAGTGTTCCGAGAACGCGCTCGCCATACTTAGTTGCGCCGAAAGCGTAGACACTGGAGAAGGAGGGCGTCCGCAATTTGGCTTACCTTGCAGCAGAAGGGATTGGGAAAACGCCTTTCAGATGGCCCGATCGCGCTATTGCGTTATGCCTTTGAAAGCGAAGTTCGAGCGTCCTCCGAGCTCTTTGGCGCCTCACGACAGAGCACACGCTCATGGGTTTACGTTTTCCTAGCACTTTTTGACGTGCTGAAATGGAATATTTAGATTTTATGTACTTAATGAAGCTGGTCTAGATAAAAATAAAAAACTGTCTGTAACTTTTAAGAGTGGCATTTCTGATGCAGTTTTTTTTCGTACATTAGTTTCCCGTCAACCAAATAAATCGTGAACCACCAGTGCTGTGTACTTTTTCATGGCAAGCTTCGTTTAGCTGAAGGAAGAAAAGGGCTGTTCAGCAGAGCATAAAACTTGACTTACCGGTTTGAATATATGTTCAACATGAACTTCAAATAATCAATGCATAGCTGGAAGAACCTGTTATGTTCTTAATGCAACGCAGGAAGAAGATATTAGGACCAAAGTCAGCGTCTACCCTAAAATCTTGTCACGCATAATATTGCCACATTGAATATGCAGCCCCAAGAGAACAACGAAGAACACGCGCAGCGAGAGAAGGAGACGAGGTTCTCTTCCGATGAGTTTGCCAGTGTTCTGGTACAATTAAAGTGAGGTTCCTGTATTCGACTGCTGCTGTTTCTGCATTGTGACCATATTAGTACCTCAAAAATTCTAATGCCAACCCACACTTATATAGGCGTGACATCAAGTGACGGAGTGTCTCGAGATGTTCCGTCTGATTAAAAGGGTCACCATTCAGTTTTATATCACCAGCGCTTCTAGGAGACCTTAATTTCTACACTTGTGTTTCAATGAACCATAGGCAGCGAATGATGAGGCAGCATTCCGCTAACGCCCACGCATGAACCGAAATGCCACACCCATTTAAATTCTATACTATGGATTGTACAATCCTTCCTCTGTCGTGCAGTCATGCTGTCTCTTCTCTTCGTGGCGCACGCCCTCTCCATGGTCCCTTTCTGCTACCTGGCGTCCACCTTATTCAGCGACAGTTCGTTCGCACTCTCCGTTATGGTTATCTTCTTCTTTTTCATCGGTGAGTTGTCGTTTCACTGGCAAACTGCTATTTGTCATAACCTCCCTTTGCTGCTTAAACGTGCAAGTGACACGTGAAGATGAAGCGATGCAGATGGACACATGTAATACACACTTTTTTTACTTGGTAAATTAGCATTTAACACACACAACTTTTGTGCAAGCGAAAACATAGCTGTGACAGTTCATACATCAATAGAATAATTACGTCAACTATCCGCGTATCAATGACTTGTCACCTGTCTGAAAGTGATATTGAAATGGTCAACGCGTGTTCATTACGCCTACTTGTTGATTAACAAATGAACATCGAGTACAGCTTACGCACAGCTCAGAAGCAGTGAAAAAAGACAACCCAGAATACAGTCTGATATTTCTGAAACACCATGTATATTTTATGTTGATAATCCATTTACAATAGGGCTCACCAAATGGACAAAATGACAGTGTGTTTTTTTGTTATTAAAAGCCATTTGGAGACCACATTGGTGCCGTAGCTGTCCCCAGCCGTCACTACCGGTGTCGGTAAGACCCAAACTGCTATCGCACGACATGAGAAAAAAGTTCCAGGATAAAATGGGGTGGTAACGTGGGCTTTCTCCGTGTTATTCCAGTATTCTACCACTTATCCCTACTAGTGCTCGAAACTCTTGTGCACAAATACTCTATATGTGCGTTATGTCAAGAAAGAACCACGTTAACGTGATCAATATAACGTTAGAGAAGAGTATAATAATAACCAGATATCGCACAATGTGAATTGAGCAACCACGCGTCAAGTGAGTCGTTCAATGCTTCCAACCCATTACAAAATGCTCAGCCATAATTCTTAAGCGTCGTCAGGCACCGAATCGATTCTTGGAAATGTGGATACCTAGCAAACATGCTTTGTATTAGTAGCCCCAAGTGAGTTTGCGACGGTTTCTAGAAATGGCGCTCTCCAAGCTTTCGCAGAGACTTGCCGCGCAAGTCTGTCACTTTTTTTTTCGTTTTTCTTTTCATCTGAATCCTGCCAGTGATTTCATGTCTCTTGTTTCAGGATTGCTGGGTGCCCTGGAGACGGTGATCGCCCATTTCGCGCAGACGGTGGCCGAGGCGCGGCTGCTCTCGTTGCTTCCACAGGCGCTGGACATCCTGCTCCGCATCGTGCCCACCTTTACGCTCACGCGCGGCATATCGCAGCTACAGCGCCTGCAGCGCGAGAACGAAATCTGCCTGGCCTCTGACGAGATGCTCGCCATCGCCTGCAAGAACGTCATGCTCGGGCGCACGATGTCGCTCAAGTACTGTTGCAGTGGTACGGCCTCAACTAAAGCTACTCGGGCTGTACAGTTGCGCGAACCTTCGCTTGTCGCCTTCGCTCTCACGTATAGTTCGACTTGTGTAACTGTGCCGCGCGGCAAATGGGTCATTCGTAATGAATTTCGTGCTTTTGTAACCTCATTTCTTCATTCACACGTTGAGTAAGCAGAGAACTTTAATGAAGACGGTATGTGCAGTCGAGATAGCTCCGGAAATACATAGTGATTTGATTTGGAACCTGTCCACTGCAGTGGAGCAGTGGTTCAAATGCTCGGCTGCTGACCCGAAGGTCGTGGGTTCGATCGCGGCAGCGGCGGTCACATTTCCATGATGGCAAAATAGTAGAGGCTAAAGTTCACTGTAGTGTGCAGTGTTAATGAACGTTGAAGAACACCAGATGTTCAAAGTTTCCGGAGCCCTCTACTATGGCGTCTCTCATAACCATATTGTGATTTTGCGACGTTAAACTCCATATATTAAAAAAATTATTTGTAGCCGACTCGCACTCCCGACGCCACAGACGTACTCTGTATCCGTTAAGTCATCGTCCACCTCTGTCTGACCAGTCACAAGAAAGCAACATAACAATATAGGTGTGTGAAATTTGACCCAAGTGAAGGGAAAGCTCACCAAGTGTCTGTAGTATGATGTGCAATAGTGTGCGCACGCACAGGATGGCGTAGCATCACGAAAGGTACAGCAGCGGGTCAGCCCACGCTCGTGCCAGTCGAGACGAGGATGGTACAGACGAAAGTTTATTGTGGTCTGTGACTGGGTAACTTCAAATCTTTGACCACAGTACGGTGTGAGTGTGGTCGCGTGTGCAACAAAGCGCTACCACACATATTTGATCAAGATCTCACATTACTTGTATAATAAATTTTCTATGGCAGGTCTAAAGTGCATCATGACTTTAGTCACTAATTTATTAGAATCGCACTTTTTTTTCTTCGGTTGATTTCAGAATATATTTTTAATTGCATAACGTTATTACCATTTCTGGCGTTTTCGGCCCAGTGTTAACATCGCGCAACGTAAACGACACCATGGACGAGGTCCATAAGGTGACGGCTGAGCCGTACGAGCTGTCGGGTGCCGTCATGATTGAGGTGTTCGTCATGCTAGCCGAGGCCGTCATGCTGCTCGCTTTTGTGGTGATCATGGACTCCACCGCGTACGCCAGGGTCCACAGGAAGCTACGAGCCAAGGTATACGCTGGGCACCTTCAATTACCCGTTGGGTTCTTCCTACTTGCGCATGTGTTTTTATAAAGGACCGCTTAAACACACCGACTTCAAAGGTGAGACAGTAGTTTTTTTGCTCGCCTTTTCTACCCTTCCTTTAAGCGCCATCTCCTAGTCGTCACCAGTTTCTTCATAAAACCCGTGGAATGTCAGCGCTAAGCGTTGCGCCAGTCAGGATTTGGCAATTTCCGACTGTACCCGGTATCTCAACCTGCTGAGTCGCAAACGCCGAAAACGAAGTGAAATCGTTTTCTTCGCACGTGATGGTCCTGCGAGGTAAAACATAATTGGAATATGGCTACATGGAAAAGCATATATTTACCGTATGCCGACCAATGAGAGCTTATTTCATCCTGACGTCATGTGAACAAGCTGCTGGCGTTATGAATTGTGCCAGAAAGGCAGGAAGCGAGAGAGAAGAACACACTCTTTTTTGTATTTTAGAGGTTGTTTAGGGGCCCTTTAACGTCTATGAGCTTGCATTACCGCGTTGTTAGCCATATCGGCTATGTCACGCTGAAGTTGTGAGCTTTCAGTTGATAAACTAGGTGGCATAACATTAACATTAGCTGGCCTTAGCGCCCAGTAGTGATAGCGTCACATGCGCTGACAGTCTAGCGAGCGTGTCTAGATTTTATATTGAGCTATAGTCGCAGAGCTCGCTGCGGGGAAACCCTTCATTCCTTTTATGGCATCGAGTCATTGCTCTCCTTTCCGGTACTAACACTACACCACCCTTCCCACAAACGTTTAATTGACTTTTTACTCATTGCGCAGCAGAAAGACGCCAGTGCATAAAAATCTCGCTTTCATTAGACAACAATGGCGCTATATGTAAGCCATAACGTTTCTACTCACCTAGTGATAGTTTACACTGAATCGGTGAGCTATTTGCATAACTAGTTTGACTAGCCTAAAGTTCGTGGTATCGTACTTCATCGACGCTGACAATCTGGAACCCTTTCAACCTTTATTTTGGGCATAACACGTATACAGGGTTTGCTCTACAGCAAAGACAAAAGGAGGACTTAAACTTCCTGACTAGGTCTTACCGCACTGGGCCAGCAGAAGCAACATATTTCAAACTAAAAAATCAACTTTCTACTTCAATTAATAAAAAGAGACCTAACTAATATAACAGTAAGCAAATAATCACCAATTGAAGTAGTAGCATATTGAAAGTAATGAAGTTATTGTAATGATGCAGTCACAATGAGAACATAGGCACAAATACAAGAAAAACTACAAAATACTAGAAAGGAAGTAACTAGTTATAGTTGTAACAATTATATTTTGTAACATTATGTCGGAGTCATGGAACATTGTCATTATTATTTAGTCATTTTTACAACAAAGTTCTAAAACACATACACGTCAAGAGCAAGAAATATATTCATTATCGATTGTTTGAATTCTTGAAATGATTCACATTTTTTTTATTACCACGATGGTAGTATACATATTGCATAAATACGTAGTTTCATAAATTGAAAACAGTGGAAGGACGCCCGCATAATCGGCTCTTTTTCGCATATCCAGACTGCGCTGCAATAACACTAACTTGCATAGGCACAAATACAAGAAAAAGAAGAACATCGCAAATGAAGTAACTAGTTATAGCAGTAAAGATAATATTTTGACACCTTGACACCGCCTCCCCTATGAACGACCGTAAAACTCCACACCCGTCGTTGTGGTCGTGTGGTTATGGTGTTTTATTGCTAACCCAATGGTCGTGGGATCGAATCCCGGTGGCAGCGACCACGTTTTGATGGAAGCGAAATGATAATGGTCCGTGTTCGTAACATATGTGCTCGTTAAAAAATCATGGACCATCTCTCCGAAAGGAACCCTGATGGAATGCGAAGCAGCAGTGGTGCTCACGGCGTTGACCCGGTTGAAACGGGTGCCGACGCGGGGGCTGGAAGAACGGTTTGAAGCGAAACTCCGTGTATCGTTTGAATGTTTGTTTGAAACACAAAGACACAGGAGACAGGTTGGGTTTCTTGTAAGTTTCATTGCATAAGGACTTTTTGCTCGATGTGCGCTCCAACGTTGCGAGTGGTGGAGAGGTTGAAGAGAGATTACACGCAGCGAGTGGTGAAAGACTAGGGGGAAATGAACGTCAACAAGCGCGCACTGCAAGGGAAGGCTGACCTACGTGGCACCGTCCCAAACACTGCGGCCAGGGGATGGTGGTGCGGACGGAGGGACAGCGTTACACAGGCTAGTCAAAGAGCTGCTTCGCATCTAAAAAACCCAGGTGGTCAATTGGTGGAGACTTCCCCTACAATGTTTCTCATGATCACATAGGGGTCTCTGCATGGACGTAAAAACACCTACAAATGTTATTGTTATCTAGTTCCACAGGAACAGACGTGCGGGCTCGCCCCAGGAGTACCAGGAGGGACCACGACTGGCGAGGTGTCCGCTCGATTCGGACGTCGGGCACGAAGCAGCGAGGGTGCAGAAGCTTGGCTCTGGACCCATGCCGCCAGAGTACGCGCTCGTGGTGAGCAAGCTGACCAAGTCTTTCGGTCTGTGCAGCAGCGTCGACAACGTCAGCTTCATCCTCAAGACTGGCCAGGTAAGCGCACGCACCTGCTCGTGTTAAGGCTCATTCAGACATGCAAAGTGCAAGCACTGGTCGCGCGACCAAGTTAATCGCAAAGTGACTTGTCGCAACAGCGAACAGTCACTCGCTGTTCTATTTTCCAATCGTTTGACTACAGTCGCAATGCGCTAAACCAATCTGATGTCTAATAACGGGATGTCAGCTTATCTTATGAGGCATTCGCTATGCGGGCAGACGTGAATTCTGCGTGACGGTGGGTATAGGTCGCACGCTGGTGGGAACATCGGTCACATGGAGTCGCATCTTTCGTCGCCAATCGTAAATGGCCGCGCGACCAGTACTGGTCGCAAGTGAAAGTGAGCTTTTAGGGCTCCTGCACGCTGGCGACCGACAAAGATTGCACTGCTGCTCGTGAGGGGCGACCACACAGTGACTTAAGACGACCGATGCTATCACGGGTGTGTGCAAGCAACATGTCGCCACACAGATATGCCACATCACTTACGTCGGCTCGCCCCATTATTGCCTAGAAAAGTAAGCAACTACTGCCACGGCCTACCTGATTGGTTGAGAAACTTCATAACTGCAACGGCGAGAAAGACCCCTCAAACTATGAAGTGGCTTACTGGAAAGCTTACTCTTCCGATGTTACTCTATAGCGTGATTTAATGAATAATTGAAGTAACAATATTGTGGCTTGAGTAACTTCAATACCTATAGTGTGAGACACATAGTCAAGTGAAAAGTCGTCTATTTTTTATACATAAATATAATCAGTAATTCCCTATTTATTTCATTAAATTATGTCTAACAAAGAAACAAACCCCTTAAACACTTCCTTTTCTTTTATATTCAATAAAAGTAAAGCGCATGGTCAGAAATCGTGTCGGCCTCAATGGTGACCAGACCACCTACCTACTTCTAAGATCAAATGGGTCAAATCAATCAGTTAATCAGTCAGTCAATCAATGAATCAAGCGATTCCCCACCGACACACGTGCTCTTTTCATGCCCTTTTCGTGCCTGGCGAAGCCACTGCACAACCAGACATTAGGTAACACTGATGGATAGTTCGAAAACGAATCTTCCATCGAAAGGCTTCCGCCGCGTGCAGTGCCTCGGCATAATCGGCGTTACCGGGGCAGGAAAGACGGAGCTGATGCAGCTGCTGACGGGCCTCTCCGAGATCTCGTCGGGTGACGCCTACGTGGGCTCGCTGTCACTGTCACGCACTCCAACGGAGTACACCTCCAAGGTCGGCTACTGCCCCGACGCCCTTGGCCTACCCGACCACCTGACCGGGCGAGAGGTACGGCAGGGCGTAGTTTAAGTTTGTCAAAAACCTAAATAAAATGTTTCGAACGCGTTTATCGGTAAACATCGCAAGGAAACGCGGTGCGGGAAACTAAGGTATTGATGAACAGGCACGGTTGCACACGGTCTCTAACTACCACGCTCAGAAAATCGATTCAAACTGCCGTCATATGACATCATGGTGTGACGTCATCAGTTAAAACTCACACTATGGTCTCCGCCGATTGCATTACTTAATGTATTATCAGGCAAGAGTTGGGGTGAGGCCAGGCATTCAAGTTAAGGGTCATTTTTGAATACGCGTGAGGCTGCAGCAATGAGACAGAGAGAAAGAACATAGAATGCGATGTTAACTTCGCGCACTTTCAAGTTCAGCACACAGTCATATTCGCATTCAAACCACACATTTTAACATGTCGGTCACCACCGGGAATGAAGTTAAAGACCTCGAGCCCAGTATTCTTTCAGGGCCATGAAAATTAACACGTGGAGCTGCCTTTTCGTTGCAAAAATGTGTAAATCTAATTTCTTTTTGTTGTTGTTGTAATGCTGCGCCTATTAGACTACTGAACTTCAAGACACGGACACAATATCCATCATACTGTCACTTCTATAGCGCAGCTTCTTGACAATAGCCCGATTTTTTTTACGCGCAGCCAACAAATGACTCGATGGTTTAAATTACACAGGAGTTGGTGTTACAGTGAGAAATCTCTGTTAAAAAAACGACAGAGCTGCAGTTAGCATGATGTCCAATGAATGTACTGCAGTAACTGTACATTGTGTATCTGGCGACAAAAAGCAATTTTGTCAAGATTCCCGCAGAGAAATTATTTCAGGAACGAGAAACCACAAGATTTTTAGTCGAATTGGTCTTGAATTAATTAGCGATGAAATATTCTTCCCTTTCATATCAAACACATGAAGGCGCACTTATTGAAACGAATTTCTTAATGCATTTTTCATTAGTTCTGTGTCATATCTCGTTAAGCGGGCACAAAAGAGCAAAAGGATTTTTCGCGTACAGTTTCATAATCCCGAAAACACCTCTTTTACCACAACAACGCTTGGTAAGCGATAAAACACGCGAAAGTAAAACGCGGTTGAAGAACGCACCTTCATACTCCGGCACCAAGAACCATGACGTCATAGATTTCGAAGGCGTCTGCTGGGTCCTACGCGACTTATAATCAATAAAAATAAAGTTCATTGTCACCTGTTGGTGTCGTAGACGTAGCAACGAAGTTTCCGAAATTTTGACTGCGTCAATGTCGCGAAATTACAAAAAATACATTTGGAGATTGTTGACGTCCTGCAAGGACATTTAGGCACCTAATTTTAAAAAAAATGAAACATTAAGCTTGATTTTTTTTTTTGCTTACGATAGTCAAACATATGGCATTAGGGTTCTCAGAGTACAGTTTGTGAATCTAAGCTAAATCATAGCTTCTCTTTTTTAGCGTATTCATTCTTTGTGATTCAGGAAGTCGCCACAGTCCGCACTTGCTGAATCCTGGTTCACTGAGGCAAGTTCGTGGCATAGCGAACACCTGACGCAAAAGTAGCGCTAAATTACATGTCTCTGCTGATTCCTTTACATCAAACTCTTTACACAATTCGATCGCGTTGCAGCCAGCAGAATCAAAAATCGAAGTGATTGAGAACCAGAGACGCGAGCATGTGTCTGCAATAAGAAATTGCCTATATGAATTACACATTGCACTCTTCACGCCACGCGGTTGAACAATTGAGATTGGTAGAGCATCTGTTCAAGCTTTCTATTGATGGGACAATGATGGTCGTGCGCAGAGTTTACATTTATTGTTAGGTTAAAAACATGGCGTTTCGCGGGCCAGAACCACCGATATAATTGAGCAAGGCCTTCATGGAGGGCTCCAAAAATTTTGATTGTCTGGGGTTTTTAACGTCCACTGATCGAGCAGTACGCGGGCATCTACCATTTCGCCTCCACCGATACGCAACTGCCGCAGCCGGTATCGAACCCATGACCTTTCTTTTTACAGTAGAGCTCCATAACCACTGATAGTTCACCGTTAAGTAGTGACCGACTATACTTTCATTGCGACGAAGTGGACCATTCATGGTAGACCTACGAACGCAGGTTATCCAGCTGTTCTGTGTGCTTCGAGGTTTCCGGTCCGACGACACGACAGCGATGGTGAAAAACATGCTGTGCATCATGGAGCTGACCACCGTGGCCAACGATGTCACCAGCAACTACACGTGGGTGCTTTGACCGTGGCTGAGTCGTTGTCATGCACCGCAAGCACGATCAATATCTCGCTTATGTGGGAAGCAAACATTTAGTATAGCATAGCACTGGCACGTCCGCTTCATCCAGTGCCTAGCCAGCATCGCACTTAAAACTGAATTTGCCAATTTGCCAAGACCTGTGTTTTTTTCGACTGTTAACACCAACGCTGGTATCTTAAGACGAAAAATAAACGCAGTGGCGCTACATTGACGCTGGGCTGAAGTATCTTTCTGAGCATTGAGCAAGCCTGGCAGATGAAAAATTACAATAATTTTTTTCTTGCACTTGCAGTAATGTAGTCAATTACTTTAGTGAGCCGGTAAACTAGTAATGTAACTTATTTCTTCAAGCCAGGGATTTCAAATGTTACTTATTACGTTCCAAATTAATTTTTACCAAAACATAGCACGTTGACTTCCCTTATGGAATAAAATGTATAGTGACTGATGAAAGAAAGAAAATCAAAGACAGATTAATCTGAGTGCCAAACCGCAAAAGCAGAAATTAAACAGGTAGTTCAGATATCCGTTATATATAAGCTGTAATAACGTGGCATACAGTCGTCAGCAAGCTTAACACAAACGCTCCCGCGCGTGACGTCGACTAATTTGATGCCAGCCGCGAAGGTATGCTTGGATGTTATGTTGGCGTACATGGGTAAAATTTTGGCAACAGAACCGCGAGCTACGTGTCGCTAGCTTTAATCAAAATGTTTCAGGACACGCTGTGCAGCGTTAGTATTGAGCTTGCTGACCAGTGTAGAGTACTCATGAATTCCAACACGTCTAATGCTTTAATGTAACGATTCGCGTCCGCTCGAGAAAACGTTGCGTCGTGACGAATTCGGTATCTAAAAATAAAGTTGGTGCTGGTCTACGAGTTGAGCGAATATTACACCGAAACGAACCGAACTTAAGACGTTGAAAACGGAAGTACGTTCGTTACTTAGCCCTAAATTGTCCCGTTTCAATCGGCGAGTACCGTACATATAAAAGGTACAAGGGCTGTGCATGAATGAACATTTTTCAAAGTAAAATCTTAGTAATATCATTACTTTTTAATCATAATAGTGACTTAGTGTCATTAGTTTCAGCCAGCTGTAACTTAGTGTAGTTCAGCAAAGTTTGTCATGTAAATTTCTTTTAGGAGTAATGTTGGCGTCTACCATAAGTGCTGTAAATGAAATGTACATAGTTCGTGCATGATTGAGCTTTTCTCTAACTAATTTCAAAGTAATTTCATTACTTTTCAAACGTACTGGTTATATATAATCATTACTTTCGGGCAGCTGCATTTAGTAATTACACTGTAGAAAGCCTTGAAAGCAATTCGGGATGTAATTTAATTACGTTTTATGAGTAACTTTTGGTCATCTGAGTTATATGGGTGGTAAATGGACGATGGCGTTTCGTTATGCAGACCGGGCGACAAGCGCAGGCTATGCATCGCGCTGGCCATTGTGGGCCTGCCCAGCGTCATTCTGCTGGATGAACCCAGCACTGGCGTCGATATGGCGGCCAAGGCGCAGATACGGCGCAGCCTCAGCATCATCCGCGAGATGACAGACTGCGCAATGCTGGTCACCTCCAACAGGTTCGTTCAATCTTGGAATGAGGCTGAGAGCCCAAAAATAGCAGCCAAATCAGCCAGTTCACCCCGAGTCCCACGGAGATGCCAGTGGCGCCTCCTGGCAAGCGGCATTGAGTGAAGGTCTTCATTTTTATAACTTGTGGATGGTCGTCTCTCGAGGGAAGTCCGTGGGGGTGGTTCCGCGGTTCGTTTACATTGACTACCTTGGTGAGTCGATTGTCGGCAACACCGCATCTGGGATATACATTGTGTATGTTATGTTCTTAGTGCAAGCAATATTGGCATTTATTGGCTCAACTGTCAGGGTGATGTGGCTGTATGTGATTCGGCTGGAGGGCTACTGGTTTTATAAAAAAGGCCAATGAACGTCAATATTTTCGTTACGTCATGTTGTGCACTGCATCTGCTGTTTCATGGAAGGCTCTTTTAGACATGACAAGAGACAGTCGACACTTGCATCCACTTGTGCAAATTTGCACTAGTGCCTTTTTTTTTAATAACAGTCACGTTATCCTACCTTGCTGCCGACAAACTTACCATATACTTCTCGTTTTCATGTAAACAGTCTTGTTTGAGATTTTCAGGGTCAAGACAATATGACATGATTATGATGCACACCTTGGTAGGGAGCTCCTGAAATTTCGTCACTCTGGGGCTTAACGTGCACTGGCATCTAGCTTTTCACCTTCATCAGAATGTCACTGTCATGGCCGGTATCGAACCCGCGTCCAGCAGCTTCTGGGTTAGCAGTCTTACAACGATGCATTCACTACTACGCACGTGAAGTTCAAGTCGCTGGTTACACGCAAGTGACAAAGTCGAAAATAGTACAAGAGCGAAGTACATAATGCAAGTGGGAACAGTCGCAAGGTCGCTGTCGCAACTACTCATAGTTCGGGCTTGCGTTAGAGCTTGTCCATTCATTTTCAGTAGCCAAAATACAGTACATCGTTTCAGCAGAAGCACCAATCCATTCAAATTCTGCTTTCGTTGCGAGAAACCAGTTTTGTAATAACGAAATGGTCGCACTGATCTGTCTCAGTCGTACTGTTTTTTCTCTCTCTCTCTCTCTTCGTCTCTGTCGTGAAAAGAATGCTAATCGTGTCCACTTCTCCATTTTCTCCCAGCATGCAGCAGTGCGAGGGGCTCTGTGACCGCATCGCCATCATGCTTTCGGGCCAGCTCGAGTGTATTGGCACGGTGGACGAGCTGAAGAGCAAGTTTGGCCGTGGCTACACGATCACCATCAGGCTGCGTCAGGACACCTTTGACGACTCGGAGTACCAAGAAGACCTGACGCAGGACATGAAGGCCGAGTTCCACAGCTGCCAGCTCGACCACTCCTTCCAGGCAAGCATCGCTCGGTTTTTCACTTCACGTTCAAAGCCCCATCGCTGTGCGTTATTTGCTCAGCAACAATATGTCATGCAGAGTGTTAAAGTAAGTTCAGGAGCTCTTCCCTTTCAGAAAAAGGAGGGCTAGCGAAGCTTGGCAGGTGCGCGCCTGACCTGCTACTTTTCCTTCTTCCTTTCTAAGATTTTGTGGCACTGCGCCATGCTCTTTTCTGTTTCCTTCCTTCAAGACAGGTTTGAGCCTTCTTTCACGTTCTTAGCAACACATCAGTTCAGTTGCTACCGGCAGCAACGATGGTCACAGCTTCATATATTGGCCACCATGCCGAGTCACTTCGACTAGAGATCAGATAGCCGAATCAGAAAAGGCTGTCCATTAACAATCTCACACTTTATTGATCATCAGTTATTGTAAAATGGAACATAGAAAAATGCTCATGCGACCACCGTTCCATCGACGTGCGGCATTTCTGTACGGTCGTCGGCAGTGGGCTCTTCGTGTACATCAGCGCCGCCAGCGAAAACCGTATTTCATAAGTTTGCTTCAGTATTGAAACCTCCTTGAAAGAAAACTATATATAGAAGAGGTATTACTGCATGGTGAATAGCATTCGCGGAAGTGTTCGGATATAGTCTATTGTGTGTGTATGCTGAGCACGTTCATTTATATAGTCTTCGTATCTTGCATGAAACCTGCGTGTACCCGGTGTGTCACTTGCCTTAAACCTGTGGTGGCACTCTGGCTTCACGTGAAATTTTGCGAGCGACTTTACAGATAATTCAATGCTTTAAAACAACTCGAAAACTTTAACGTATGCCGTCATTTTCAAAGTGCTCTCAATCAGACATTGTATTTTGCTTTCAATCAGTATTTTGCTTTCAGCTTTCCTTCCTCAGATACTAGAACCTGTAGGAGTTCTTCATTGTAAGAGTGCTTCAACAGCAACTTTGTTTTCGTTCAAATTGTCACATACTCAAAATGCCACCAACTGAGCGCAAGTTTGCAACTGAGGAACAAAACAATAGCAAGGGTGTATATTCGATAAATTGAGAGGATCTTCCAGCGCAGTCTATGAACTACTTCCCTAGATATGCACCCCCTCGATTCAAAGAGTGCAGGATGACTATGATGATGCAGAAATTGGCAATGCTTGTTCTTTTTCCCGAGCACTTCCAGTCGGGTCCTTCCTGTTTTCTGAGCATGCAAACAATGTTTTTTTTTCAAGATAAAACTGGTAATAAATTGATGACTTTTGTTTAAGTTATTTTAATTTTATTTGTTTAAGGTCAATTAGGTGAATTAGTTCATTAAGAGGACAGACTGTTTTCTTATGAGCAGCTGAGGATGTTGCGACGATGCAACGAGAAGTCTATTCAACAAATACACTCAGGTGCATCTACCAAGTATTTAAGTCTGCTAATAGGGTCACCTACAATTTTTGTTTTGACGATTTTGTTTTGACTCATTGGTAAAACCCAGTCTAAATACGCAACGACTTGGCCTTTCGCTATTAATTATCTATGCACAAATCAATTGTTATTAATAAAAATAACAACATTGATACACTGACACAATCACGTAACGTTCTTCGGTGTTCCTATAGTGACATCAGGATTTCGTTGGCCTGCAGGGCGTGCTCGAGTACCGCATCGCCACGACCTACACCACCTGGAGTGAGATGTTCTCCAAGATGGCGGTCATACAGAAGAAATACCGCTTCAAGGAGTTCTACGTGTGCGACACCACCCTGGAGCAGATCTTCGTCAGCTACGCCCGCAAGCAGATCAATTTTACCAAGGCCCTAGCCCTAGCTTCAACCCCCTGATCCCCTTTCAAAATTTGAGTGGGCGTGCCCTTGGCTTGCGGTGCATTGTGCTGCGCTCTGCGGCGGTGCTCCATTGGCTGTCAATGCAGCCGACATACGGACCACTGCATATGATAATAGTACATAGTGCTGTGCATGATATGACTCTACAATTCCGGTCCTTAGGACTTTATATCATTCGGATATCTTATGGCGCTACTGTAAATAGGAATGTATATAACTACGTGTATGGCGTATACGTAGCACATAATTGCTCATTACCATGTTCTTTTATATATGTATATTTATCTTCGCTACTAACGTTCTGTTTACTGCTCCAATCACTTATAGAAATCACTCAATTTATTGAAGTGTTTTATTCTGATACTGTAAAACTGTGGCGGGGATAATGTGGACACCATTCTTTCGTGTTATATGTTCTGCAATACGAGCCCACCTACCCACTTACTCTTCACGACATGCAAAATCTCTTCTCCGCAGATGTCTATTGACAAAATTAAAGGCGAATGCACAAGGCCATAGCAATCACGTTCTAATCAGGCTCAATAAATACAATATAAATGCTATAGTCATCTCAAATTATGCACTGAACAATCAACGTGAGAGGATGATACCATGGTACATCACCATACGCTGCCGTAGCTTGTAATGCTGGAAACTGCGACGGTGGAGTAAGAAGCTGGGGATTAAAGTGGGTCAGCTAAGGTTTATTTGCATGGTTCGAATTTTCAGCAGTTTCGTACATTGTTCAACTTGTTTTCATGAGGCCTATTTTGTACAGCCCCACATCTCAAAATTGTGTTAAAACGTACTTTAGGCAAATGTAAGCCACGATTGTATCCACCACTATCTAGAGTGAAAGGAAACGCTGTAGTGAGAGGGCCCACGAAGAAACTATGAACATTTATACGAATCTTTAAGGGAACGAGGAATAATGGTCATTTATTCTTTTTGCTTTAATGAAGCTTGCCGCAGCCGATAATCGAGCCCACAACCTCGTTTACAGTAACAAAACGCCTTATAATTCATTCATGTCGCTAAAGCTTTTGTGTGAGTTACTGCACAAATAAATCTTTGGAATGCTACCCCGACAAGCCGGATGGCACATTTACAACAGTGAGCCATTTGCGCGAGCGCTCTTTGTCCGTATTCGTGAGGAGTTAAAGTCCATTTTGTGCATCCGGGCATCATTGCAGGAAAGGGATATTTAGGGGCGAAGCTCCTAAAGGCATGGGTTTGTCCATTCCTTGTATGTATGTATGTATGTATGTATGTATGTATGTATGTATGTATGTATGTATGTATGTATGTATGTATGTATGTATGTATGTATGTATGTATGTATGTATGTATGTATGTATGTATGTATGTATGTATGTATGTATGTATGTATGTATGTATGTATGTATGTATGTATGTATGTATGTATGTATGTATGTACTTATGGACGTGCGTGGCCGCTTATATTTTTACCTTCGCCAGCTGCCCACTACTTCGTCCTTGCAAACATCCCACTACGCCTGTCGCCGATCCACCACTCCACCGACCACGAAGCGAACGCTGATGAGTAGCAGCGAATATGAAGTGCAAGATGGTCGGGTGCATGTATCCAGGTGCACGTTAAAGAACCATAGATTGTCTCACAGTGTATATTCCTTGTTTGTACGTGACCACCTATAGTTCCACCTTTGCAAACTACCCACTACTTTGTCCTTGCAAACATCCCACTCTGCCCCGTCACCGATCCACCACTTCACCGACCATAAAGCCGTTATAATGAAGGGGGAACGGAAGTGACGTATAGTTACCATTTACAAAGTGTAGAATTTCTTGTTTAATATATACAGTACTTGTATATATAACCCTCCGGCGCTTCGCCCCACTCATCATCACTCGGTCCGTGGATATGCCGCGATTTTTTATCTTCCTCGCCGTCGGTCTCTCTCATAAATTTTTACAACAGATTTTTGTATTTATTTTTATAAAGTTTATTTCACAGCCCACTATTTGCCCCCGCTTAATGGCTTTCGCTGAAGGATACATAAACGTCGTATTCTGTCGCTTTGAATGCATTGTTTACGTTGGTTTAATATGAAGGGTAGAAGCTTAGACACGTTTGCAGCACACACGCGTAAGAAAAGCGCAAGAGGCAAGAACTAGCGAAGAAAAGGAACGGCGCTGTACGTGCGTTGTTTGATAGCCTTTGTCAGCCGTGCTGTCCTTACAAGCATTGTTTTATTTATTGTTTTGTACTGGTCATTCTATTTTCGCTTGAACATGCTTATGCTATGAAAATCAAATGATCGCGTTTTCCACTGCACCTTAGATTAAGACGACAGCACACATTATACGGGCAACAAGCGTATTGCTCGTGTTGAGGTAAAAAACCACCATGGCATCAAGACGCGTTGTTTCATTGGTAAACGATCGGCTAAGCGCTTTATGGAGAAACAAAATGCTCCTCTGCGTAATGTTGTAAGACGACCGATTAACTGTGTAAGAATGAGCGGTTTTTCGCACAGTATTTGCAACTCGTCGAATCCACCCATCTTTCGGCTTAATTATTATGGTATATCGTGGAGAAACTACATAGGGTTGTTTCTGTCACGTGCTAATCCATTTTCTGCTTCGTGAGACATTGTTTACGTCGATAAACAACAAGGAGCAGCTACGGCTTGTGGACACGGCTCGGCCATCGGCGGTGAGACTAACCAAATGTACTGACATTACCCAACACTAAAATTCAGCGATGGGAATACCCCTACCTCCTCACACCAAACTCATATCGGTTCAGATCGTTCGATGGCGGATGTTATCCTGATTTGTACAAGGCTAACCAGTGCAATTATTGCAGTAATGGGACACCTATAGCACATACATTCTGGGAGCTTCCAGTAATAATTGGCAAAGTTAGAGAGTTGGCTTTCGATGAGGACCTTTGGGTGGGTTGGTGGGCCACACTGCGGACTACCTAATCAACTCTGGCCGATACAGCAGGTGAACAAATCGTCTGAGAGACGTGGTCTGTCTGTCGACTCTATAGGAGAGAGCCCAGCCCGGCAACTCACATGAACTGAATGTTAATCACTCACTGGCTGACTCGGCCACATACGGTACATACTCGTGTGATGTGGGGTGCAAGTGATGCGGAGTCCGTATTGACCCAGAAACGGTGCGAATAGACTGTGGAAATCTTAACACGATAGCGTTCAGGAATGCGTTGGTGGCGTAATCGGTGAGTGAATGATCTCAATAGAGGCAAAGTATAATAGACAGTGGTTCGAACGGGATAGCGGTTTGGGAGACGGCGGTCATAAAATGTTGGTTGCATCACGAAAAGAGAGAGAGAGAGGAGCCATCCAAGGTGGGTGGCGTCAGTTTCAGTAATAGTATACTGCCGTATAATTTGCCAAATGGGTAGCTCCACCTCAACAGGGAATATTTATAGAAGTACCTATTGCTATTATTGACCCTTCTTCACTACCCACCAAAGAGAGTCGCCACCTTGACATAGTTCCTCTGGAACCACCCTCTGACTCCTTCAAGTTTCGTTTTTAGATGCGAAGCAGCTTACGAATGAAATTCATCATCAGTCACGCCGTAGTCCTCACTGAGAAGCCTCGTTCATAAGCGGCTTCATCTCTAACAGTGTGACGTATGTGTCCCATTGAGCAATAAAGCGTCCTTGAAAAAGTGGGACAACACATGCCCCGTTTCCTGCTGAAGACCTTAAGTGGTAATTCTCTCGCAAAATTTCTCACACGAAAAGACCCGATGCAGACGGTACAGGGGGACAATTCAAAAACTGTGCAGCGCAAAATTTGTAGTTTATCTTATTTCCAGATGTCGTACTCAATCTGCACCTCTGCCTCTTCTGCTGAGCCCAGTGGCTTTCTCCGAAGTCTTTGCACACACCAACCATCTCAGCTTCTCTCCGTCTCATCATTTGGTGTATATGACGACGAAACCTCAGCAATACCTAAATTTATGACCGTATATAAAGTTGTGGGCATTGACCGTGGAAAACCAAATCGAAGTGATGTCTCTGAGTTCATTGAATCCGGTAAGCGTGTTTACAACTGCTGCATTGGATTCGTAAAACCTGTTTAGTCTGAGATGTTAGCTTTCTCATAGATCTTGTACACTCGTTTTCTTCGTTTCGCTTCCTGACTGTCGAAAGCATAGGTTTTGGTATTTTTTGCTCTTTGGTCCTCAACTTTAGAAACAGCGTATTGGCTAAAGCTTTTGGTGACATTGCGACTCCTCTCACAGTGATAAAAAAGATGAAAAAAAAAGTGCCGAGCCTTCACTTTAATAAATAAAGTGCTGCTTTCGACGCGATATTTTCCATCTAACTTGAAAAAAAACCTATGCGTGTGTGTTATGTCGTCGGGCTCAGCAAGGAATCACTTCAGTTTTCGTTCAAGCGCACTTCCAACATAATTTTAGGTCGATATAATGCTCTAATTTCAAAATAAAATGCAGAATTGTGTGCTACAATCACTTTTCTGAAGATACGAAAAAGGAAACAAGTACAAAAATTCTATAGCTCTAGCTGTCTTGCGCGCAATGTGACACCAGTTTTAAAATATTTAACAAGACAAAATTAATTTAAACTCAGCATATCACCAGTAGAATGTATCGCTAATGTGCCATCTTTATTTTCTTCGTTTCCTAACTATTTGTGGTGCACTGTAGCAGAAAATAATGGAGCTGATGACAACTCAAAGCGGTGGAGTAAGCTTTTACTGAAGAAGAAAAAGTCGGACAATAGTTAAGACCTTCTGTGCTTCAGCATTGGGCTTCAGCCACAAAAACGCTTTTAATGCCATTTTTTTTACTTTCATAAAACAACACAAATAAGACTATATTTTCCTACCTGTGTGAACATTTTTACTGAAAAAATAACTTAGCATAAAAAGGTGTTTTTCATCACATTTATTTCTGTTGAAGATAACGACTTTACTGTGTGACCTTAACGGGTAAAAAGAAATTATTGCACTCTTTCTGTTTTACTTACTTTCTTTTTCACTCGGTGTTCGATGTTCAATACCGAAAATGCCTCACTAATTAAGATACATTTTTTACTTCTTTCTCTGAGAGGGTATGAGCCATGTTTGAGGCATAATCATCATCTTCATCGTCGTCTCATTATTCTTCAGAGAGTTAATACGGAAATCCCTGAAAATGATATCACACTCTCTCTGTTGCTGTCATTCAATGACGAAAAAGATCATATTTTGTCGCATGCCTACTTTTTGGGCCACTTCATCATACTACAGCCAGCCACAGGAACGTCAATGGACTCTTTGTAAGCACCCCGTTCAGATAAGAATGTCTTCTTGTTAATGAATTGATAGGAGTCATTTCTTCAATATTTCTGAAAAAATACGAATATATTATATGTGTCAGTGATTATTTTGTTATTCCCAGCGCTTAATATAATTATTTTGCTTTTATTCATAGTATTTATGTATTTAGTTGTTTACCTAATAACTAAAATTAGCCTTCTACTTCTAAAAATTAGAATTTTTTGATATACTAATTGTTTATGTTTTAAAGTTCACGTTTACATTGCCCATTGACTTCTTGATTAAGGTGCCGTAATGGGTTGGCACCAGTAATCAATGTACAAGCAAGCAAGCAAGCAAGCAAGCAAGCAAGCAAGCAAGCTAGACATTGAAGAAGAAAACAAGCGGAAGGAGCACCGATCGCTGCGCGCCAGCCACTGGGCCCAGCTCGAGAGCTCGCTCCCGGCAAGCCTTTTTTTATTATTTCCACCTCTTTCAAGATGGAACCGCGCCATAAAAACGTAAATTGCCCACCGTGCACCTAGCGAGGAATCACCGACAGCGCCGCACCGGTCCCACCAGGGTTCCGTCGGTTCACGGCCGGTCCATGCGTCTTTCAGCGGATGGCCCGGCAAAGTGTCGCCGCGCGGAAAATCGGTCGAGCTGAAAGACTCGTCAAACCAGCCGCCTCTCGTCGTGCTTCACCATGAGCTCGGAGAAGCACAGGGAGAAGCCGGCGCTACTCATGCCCCTGGATGACAAAAGTCAAAGTGAACCCCGGCTAGAGCCCCTACCTACGTCGCTTGGTTCAACTAGCCCGCTGAGCAGCCAGACAGAGCATAAGAGTCGCGAGCCACCCGAACAACCACTGGTCGAGTATGGTGACATCCGGAGACCGTCCATCAGTGTCAACGAAGGTGAGCTGGGCAGTCAGCCACCGTTCGGTGAGCATCGGCGAAAAAGTATCGGCAGCGTCGACTACGGGGACCCAGGGCCAGGACAAGTCTGATAAAGAAGATGGCCTCACTCCCATGCCCCCCGTGGCGGGAGACAACGTGGATATCGTGAAAGACTTTCTTGAGGGGGCCATAAGCTCCGAGGAAGCACCCAAGGCCACTGCGGTGCCAGTGTCTATGGCACTGGTACCTTTGGACGAGCGCGCGGAGGAACAACAACGCCCAGCTATAAAGGATTTACACCAGCCACCACTAAAGCCACTTCCTTTGGTACCAACTGACGAGAAACCACCACCACCACCACCTCCTCCGAAGCCCCCACCAGCCGGCACAACCCCTAGAAGGTAAGAAAGGCAGTCGTTCGTCTTCCACAGGCACTACCGCCGGCTCTTCGACCGAGGGCTCGGAAAGCGAAACATCGACCAGTGCCTCCAGCAGCACGGGCACTAGTAGTAGTGGTACCACAAGTACCACAGGTTCAACCGGCTCTACTAGCACGAGTGGAAGCACCAGTACCAGCAGTACTACCGGAAGCACTACAGGCACTACTACTACTCGAACGAACAATGCTAAAGTCCAAAGCGGAGGAGAAGGCAGAAAAACCAACCGCCGCTCCAGTGACTGCCGTAGAGGCGAAATTGGTAGCCCCTGTACCACTACCTCAGAAGCAACCTGGAGAAGCAACGGCGTCTTCGTCCTCCGAATCGTCGTCTGGTTCTAGCTCCGGCAGTGACTCCGATAGCAGCGAGTCCAGCACATCTGCTCGAACTGCCACTACAAAAGACCAGGAGAAGCAACCACTGCTTCCGAAGCAACAAGCCCCGATTACGAACGCAAGCAAACCTAGCGAAGCTTGAAGGCGATGCAAAACCTAGCTTAGCTTCACCAACCAGTGCTACATCAGGTGTAACGTCTGGCCCTACGTCGGGTACTACGTCAGGCCCTACGTCGGGTGGTACTTCAATCTGGGCCAACACTGGGAGCAACGTCAGCGCCGACATCAGAAAAAAAGGCTGGAACCTTTGTACCACCATTTAGGCACCCGCCCGTGCCACCAGGTGGACTGAGACCAAACCGGCCACCTCCGAAGCCTGCCGAGCAAACGCCGAAAGTCCCGCCGGAACCTGAGAAGCCGCACAAAGTCTCCGAAAAGCATGGGAACGATCCTGCACTGTACGCCATGATGAACAACGAAGTGCACCGTGAAGTGGAGTGCAAAAGGCAACTGATCCCGCGCCGCCTGTTCTTGGCAAACCTCCTGGCATGTTTCATCCTCGTTGTCATCTCCCACATAATCATTGTTTACGATTTCGAACGGCGAGCTTCGATGACCAGTCCACCAGTGCCTTCTGCAATCGGGGAAGACGATCACGTATGTCGCGACGTGCAGTGCAGTGCGGCTGGTACTCACCTCTTTTACGTGTTGAATGCAAGTGTGAAGCCTTGCGACAGCATATACGACTACGTATGCAAAAGTTGGATACACGAGGGACCACAGAACTACCGCAAGATAGTCCTTGGCTCCGAGCGCATTTTTGTTGATAACATGTACACCGAGATGAAGACAGCCCTACTCAGTTATCAGGCTAGGGCTAGCGAGTCAGAGGCCGTGAGAAAAGCCACTGAACTCTACAGGCTATGCCTAGAAGAGCCAAAGAAACAACCGAAAAACACGAACTTGATAAATCAATTACTGAGTGACTATGGACTTTCTTCATGGCCTTACTCCGAAAGTGCCGCAACGAATTTTTTCTCGAGCCCGTACCTCAGCCTAGCAAAGTTCATCCGCGATTCCGGTGTCGGTGCAGTCGTAGCAGTAAAGATGCTACCCGACCCCGAAAACACTCTGGCTAGAGTGTTTGCGCTTGACTGCTCCACTTTCATTGTGCCCATGGGTACGCTGCTGCAGTTTGCAGAACACAAAAGCGACACTTTGCTTGGTTATAAAGCGTACATTGCTGACGTTCTTAAAGCAGTGCGACCACGACGACAGGATGTAGACAAGCTGGCTACAACAATTATGGCGTTTGAAGTCAACATGGCACATCGCTGCAGTGAAGGTTGCCGGAAAAAAAGGTTTAAGAGGACTACACTCAATGACTTGACAAGTGAACTGAAAAGCAAAGGTGTTGACTGGAAGCAGTTTTTAGAGGCTGTGGCTCCAGTGAAATCAGACATCAGGCAAAGCACTCCTGTTCTGGTTCGCTCTTTGCGGTACCTCAAAGGTGTGTCCATGCTTTTTGAAGACCAACAGACATTGCGGCGCATGATGAACTATGTAGGGTGGCGCGCGGTTCATCACTTTATGCGGCACGCTGGCACTAGCTTCCGAGAGTTGACAGAGGCGTTCATGACGGCGAGACTAAAGGAAGAAAGGTTCCCGTACGACAGGAGCTGCATCAGAGATGTCAACGATGTGATGCCTTTCGCTGTGGGACGTGTGTTCGCCGAAACGGTGTTTTCTCAGGACCATTTCGACTTTGCTGCACGGTCAGTGAATGCTCTTATGAAAGGGTTCCAAGTCGTACTTAAAGAGTTTCAATGGGCCCCTCTAGACGTGCAGACAAAATTTTCGAGAATGGATTACATTGTCAGCTACCCTGAATGGATAAAAAATTTCTCCAGACTAAACGCCTATTACGACAGCGTGCCGACAAGCGGATCGTACTTTAATCGCTACATCAGTGCCTCGCGGAATCGGTATCAGCGCTACCTCTCTCCACCTCCGATGATGCCGTACATGCATCGCAGGCTGGCCGAGTTTATTTTCCCATCCCGGGTAGTGGATCTGGAGCGGCGCGTTGGGCCTCCGCGTGAGACCACCTTCTACGACGTGCGCGACAACACGCTCATCGTACCGGCCGGTGCCATGCAGCCTCCCTACTTCGACACGAGGCGTCCGTGGGGCCTTACCTTCGGAGGCCTCGGAACCATGGTCTCCCGCGACTTCGTTAACGAAATGTTCCACACGCCTGAAGGAATTCTGAAAGACGACAAGCAGAAGACAATCTTCAAGGACAAGACCCAATGTCTTTTGGATTACATCAAGAAAGGACTGGACCCAAACACAAACCCGGACTGTACGAGCATTGTGACGGATGTCTTCGCGCTTCGGGTGGCGTATGAGGCGTACCAAATCTTCGTCGACGGCAGAGACGACGACACGCTTCAGGGCGTCGCGCAAATGACGCCTGACCAGCTTTTTTTCATTTCGGCTGTGCGGACACTCTGCACGAGCATCAGGGAGCAGCACTTCTCTCAAGTCGTGCTCCTGCGCAAGAACGTCACGGAGATGGACCTCATCGACCCAGCAGTGATGAGCATGCGAGAGTTTGAGGACGCCTTTAACTGCAAGCAGAGTAACGGTCGCATCGGGCGAGAACTTGTTCAACAAGTGTTTCTACCCTCCTCAAGCATCATGACTGCAGTCACCGCCACTGGTCAAGCTAGCGTTGAAATGAATCTGCGTAAACGAACGCTTCTGCGACCAAACGAAAATGCCGATTCAGGTGCGTTGTTTGTTGTCACCTGTACGTCATCCGCGCAGGCCCAGATCATCTTGGAACTCGGGGGAAAAATGCCTTTGCCCGGACGTTTCTTGTGTAAGCTGATGTCCCAAGAAAATATGGCAAAATGTGGCATTGTAAATATGGAATACAAACGTTCTTACGGGGCCTTCATTCAATCATTTTAGTTTGTTTTTTACAGCTCAGTGGACATGTTAGCTCAAAGTCTTTTGTCTTGCGCTTTGCTAGAGACTGCCTAGACTCCTTTCAAAGCATGTTGTTGTGCGAAGCTGTCCAGTGATGAACCCTGTTTATTAAAGGGACACTTCCTGCATATGAAAAGCATGCTTCCACTGCAAACACAGTTGTTTAATACTCTCAAAATATCTTCCTGGATGTGTGACCAATTCAAGAAAAATAAATGGAACTGGCGCAGAATTTGGTGTTATATTGCGTTTAACTCCGTTTTAGAGGGATATGTATGGTGTTAAAAACATTTCGCAGCCTGGGATATGTCAAAACCTCTCCAATGAAATTTTTGGGCATGCGGTCGCAATCTCAAAAACCAAGATAGCCAATAACCACCAGCCCAGTGACGACGTGTTAAAGCATGCAATTATCTAACCCACTTTTCATGTTGTGCTGGCTCTCGCCGAAAAAAAAAAGCATATTTTTCGTTCACGAAGCAGCACATAGAAGAAGTATAAAGATCACCTCACTCAAACTTCTATGTGTACCAAGTAAGAAAGAAGCTTTGAAACGTAATATCAAGTTTCACATGGCTATATACAACGCAAAAGCAATTTATTAGCAGTTTACTGGAGTACTAACAGTGAAATAAACTTTTCAGATAGTTGAGAGAAATGGAAGTAAAGCATCGTTAAAATGCTCGTGTTAAATTCGAAGCACTTCTTTGCATACCGCAAGCTCTTTTAGCATCTATCTATCTATCTATCTATCTATCTATCTATCTATCTATCTATCTATCTATCTATCTATTCACCTAGCCACCTACATCTGGGCGCTCTCGTGATCACCCCCTTAACTTGGGGTAAACAAAAATTAGTATAGGAGGGTAAGATAGTTTGACGAAAACGGTTGGCTTGTCATGACTCGAATAATATCCCGATCCCATCATGTACGTCGTCAAACACTTTCCCCCAGACAGTAGCACATATCCGTAGGTGAGTACGTGCCACTGGTATGCAGAAATGTTCGACAGGTAACTGACACTTCATATCTACCCAGCAACGGCGAAAACACACATGGGTAATTTCAACGCGTGAGCGTTAAGAAAAAAAAATGGCTGCATATCCATAGTGTAAATGATGGAAAGTGGGGCGAAGCATCTATCCGTTCATTCGTTCTTGCTTCCGTTCGTCCATGCGTCTGTCTGTGTGACCGTCCACGCGTCCATCCGCCCGCCCGTGCGTGCGTCTGTTCGTGCGTCCGCACATCCGTCTGTGCGTCCGTCCCTGCGTTCGTCCATGCATCCGCCCCTGCGTCCGTCCATGTGTCCCTACGTCCATGCAGCCATCCATGCGTCCGTCCATGCGTCTGTCTGTGTGTCCGTTCGTCCATCTAGTAAACACCCTAAGTACCGCCCTCTCGGATATTTTCATCGTATATTCCGCATATAGAAGCACCGCCATCCAGCGGGCATTCCAAGGACTAAACGAAAGGCGGCACACACAAACTTTCTTACGGCTTGCGCTTCTTGTCTACTTCCCACCTTTAACCACCTCGAGTTCATGGTATATACTAGTTCACTGCATTCATGGCACTGCGGCCCAACGCTCGCTAAACCTTTCTAAAACCAAGGAGGTTACACCCAGCAAGTATAACATAGCAACCCTTTCTTGTCAGATAGCGCTCAATGTACATGCCAAAGGCTGCTAATGGGGAATGAGAGACAGGAGAATTCGGCTTTTAGTTAACGCGCACGCTGCGAATTTTTTTATTCTTCAACAACGCACAGGAGAAATCTCCTACCAGCACCACCTTGCAGGTCAAAAGGTAAGACTGGTTACACACTACGACTACGACTAAGAGGGACAAACGGGTGCCGCTTTAAGGGGCTTCGCCCCTAAAAGCTGAAAAGGGCTGTGTTGACCCGTCGAATCTACAGAAAAAAGATTGTCAGATCCCACGTGCAGTAGGAATCGATAATATGCGAAGCACGAATAAGGAAGGTTGATAAATGCTACTTTAAAATCAACACAACGTTACCAGGCGGACGTAAATTATGTCATACATGACTTTCATGCCATGATTGTCTTGTCTTGCTACATAGAAGATCTTGGCTTATACCCACAAGGGGGATTGGCCACACTGTACTTTAGATAGATAGATAGATAGATAGATAGATAGATAGATAGATAGATAGATAGATAGATAGATAGATAGATAGATAGAGATAGATAGATAGATAGATAGATAGATAGATAGATAGATAGATACTAGATAGATAGATAGATAGTAGATAGATAGATAGATAGATAGATCGATAGAGATCGATAGATAGATAGATAGATGATAGATAGATAGATAGATAGATAGATAGATAGATAGATAGATAGATAGATAGATAGATAGATAGATAGATAGATAGATAGATAGATAGATAGATAGATAGATAGATAGATAGATAGATAGATAGATAGATAGATAGATATAGATAGATAGATAGATAGATAGATAGATAGATAGATAGATAGATAGATAGATAGATAGATAGATAGATAGATAGATAGTAGATAGATAGATAGATAGATAGATAGATAGATAGATAGATAGATAGATAGATGCGCTCAAAGTCACTGCAGTTCGCTAAGAAATGCTTCGCATTTAAAGTGTCAGGGTCCCAATAGGAATTCAACCCCATAATTCTGCGTGGCAGCTAAGTATTCTACCACAGAGCCACAACAAGTCTCGCATTTGTTGTTCAAGTAGATTGTGATGTGACGTTAGTGAAGCGTCATTCGGGGATGCAGTGATGGCTATCCCATTTTATAAACATAACATATGTAATCCTACGACGCAGCCGTCAGGTCCGGTGAAGATCAACTGTGGTTGCGTAATGCACTGAAGGTGATTGACAATTTGTATCAACGAAGGAACTACACAAACACACATGAGTAGTTTTAATTCGAGAGCGTCAAGAAAAATCTGTATATCTTCACGAAGTGAGTGATGACAATTGGGCGGAGCAATAGGGCCTAAGGTCCATAACGTCAACGTTGAAGTCACCCACTAGTGTAAAGGACGGACCGATGGGCGGATGAACACACGGACGGACTGATAGGTGGGCGTATGCACGGAACGAAGAACAGTTGGACGCATGCATGGATGAACAGATGGAGGGACGATTGGATGGACGCGCTGACGGTGGGATGAACGGGCATATGAATGGACGGACGGCGTGGGCGATCATGTATCGTACTGTCATGTAGTTGATTACATATAAAGTGTGTTGTTTACACATGTGTTTTTGTTTTTATAGCGCAGCTAATCAGTTTCTGTTTGGGCTTTGTGGGGCAAGATGGACGCCAACTATATTGGCCCTATGGGGCATCGCTCCTATAATTGTGAATGGGCAGCGTTAGCCTAACAGCAGCATAGAATAAATGTCATGGTCCCAGAAGGAATAGAACCCCAGTATTCTGCGTGGCAATCAAGTATTCTAGCACAGAACCACGCGAGGTCCCGGAACTGCTATTCAAGTAGGCAGTAATGTTCGTGAAACGTCAATTGTGGTTGAAGTGTGGGCTATTCGATCTGATAAACAGTACATACGGGCTCCTATCATGCAGACTACATGTCGGGTTAACGACAATTGTTTTGAAGCGTCATCCACTGAAGCTCATTTATCTAGCAGTGTCTAGGGCTGCCGACTTCGCTGGGACAAGCGCCACACATCAGCTTACCGCTTCTTGTGTTGTTGATGCCTCTGTTGCAGTTAGCGTTGTTACTCATCATTAAGCATGCGACTGTTTACCGTATACCTGTGCGAACAACACTTGCACATTTAGCGTCGATTCGTTAACGTTTCACTCAACAAAAATTACAACACAGTCATCTTCTCGCAACATGCTTCGCATAACATCGATTCCCAAGGTACGTGAGATCTGCTAATTTTTTTTAATGGAGTAGCAATATAGCCAAGGGGAATTAACAAAAAAAGAAATTTGATTGAATCTCTAATGTTAAGCATTGCTTTTCTTTCACGTAATCTTAGAATAAGGACAACAGCCAAATGAAATATACTTCCAAAAAAACCGAGCCTTTCTTCAGTAAAAAAATTGCCCGCAGCTTCCCTCGGGGGAACACTGAGGAGGATGCGGACCATATAATTGGTTAACGTGGTGTTAAAGTGCGACTTACTTGGGTCGATGGCTAAATTGGTTAACGTGGTTGTGAAATGGGGTGTTAAATTGCGACTTACTTGGGTCGATGGCTAAATTGGTTAACGTGGTTGTAGGAGGGGTGTTAAATGAGTGAACACGTACACACGTATGCGAAAGGGCGGCGCTGGTCGAAGGGACGTCGATCATTGTGTTTGTGGATTCGTTGGAATTCATTTCACCGCGACCTTGGACGTCGACGCGCCGTACAAACCAACCGACGAGCGGCAACTGAGCGAGCGAGCGCCGACCTTGAGTATATATACAGCTCGACGGCGCATGCACTGTCAGCTGTTGAATGTTCTCGAACGGCGACGCCACATGCGCGTCCACTGGAGAATCAGGAGAATTGTAGATGTCGAACGCGGTGTGTAGAGGAGGAAGGGTGCACAGATGGTGGAGGAGTGAAGCGCGCGCGGTGTGTAGAGGAGGAAGGGATGCACAGATGGTGGAAGAGTGGGCGACGGCGCGACGGCGCATGCGCGCGCGTCAGCTGTCGAATGTTCGAGAAGCGGTGCGGACGGCGCGGACGGCGCACTACAAGGTGCGAGTATAAGATGCTCCGCATCTAAAAAATCTGCTAATTTATTGCACTGACTTCATAGTTTCCTCCTTCCTCTGGTATTTGATGAGTCTTGTCTGCCAAAGTTGTATGATCCGAAATTTTAAAAAGGACTCGTTATCAATGTAGTACTCAATTAAAATACCACTATACGCACGGACAAAGATTGCAGTACGGTCCTAGCCACCAAACTGCAGTGAGCCTATAACGTGCACCTTCGTAAGGAAATGTTGCCAACTGCATTTTGGTGTCTGCCTAAATGTGTTAATGCTGCAACGACAAGCGCTAGGCATAT